GGCACAGAGGTGAGGTGTCGTCCTTCTGCGGCGGAGCCAGCGCAGAGGATCTGGCGAATGATGGAGCGGGTCGGGAAAGGAAGGCGAGCTGCTCTCCCTCCGCGGAACCTCGAGGGGCGGCGTCCAACTGTGCGACCTGCCATTTCCTGGATCCCTGAAATAGGCCAGGCTCTACTCAGTTCTAACCCTAATAATCTATTCAGCAGCCTCTTGATGTAGGCTCCATTTTTATCCCTGTTTATAGGAGGGAATATTAAATTTCAAAGAAGTTAAGTGACCTGCCCAAGGTCACAAGATTGTGAATGGTGGAGCCCAGATTCCAAAGGTGTCTGACCCCACAGCCTTCAGGTTTAACCACCACTACCGCCAGCTGTGCCTTCAGTTTCCCCCCTTCATACAGAATAAGAGGTCAGCGACATGAGAAGTTCAGCTGGTGGGCGTGCGGGTATATACAAGGTTAAAGGATCTATAACAGGCACACCGGAAATGTAAATGTTAATTACAAAGAGGAAAAGAAGGACTTTCACAATAGCAGTGGACACCATCAGTGATGGGAAAACTGAAATTATGTGCCATCTGTTAGGATGAAATGAAAAGAACCCAGCATCACTTCTGTGATAGTCCTATCAAAAATGCAGAGCCTCAATCCAATCATGAGAAAGCATCTAACACACAGTGAAGAACATTCTACAGAATAGCTGGCCTGTAATCTTCAAAAGTGTCAAGGTCATGAAAATCAAAGAAGGGATGAGAAACTGTTCCAGACCAAAGAGAGAATTACGACTGGATCCTTTTGCTATAAAGGACAGTATTGGGGCAACTGGTGCAACTTGAATGGGGTCTGAGGATTAGGTAGTAGTAATTTCATACTAAGGTATTAGGGAGAAATGAAGCATCATGTGGAAAATTTACTCTCAAATAGTTCAAGAAAAGAATTTTTGTACTGTACTTGCAATTTTTCTGTAAGTTTAATGTTGTTTCAGAAGTCTTTAATGTAAAAAATGATATGAACTGGTAGTTTTTTTCCTGAAGACTTACCAGACTTGTGCTCTTTGAAAGAGTTAGTTGAAAGATTTTTCAAAACCACCCAAGAAAGAGTTTAAATTGAAACTTCGTAATACTTATTTCAAAAGAACGTTTGGGCCCTGAGAAGCATTTTCTCTTTGCATGGTATTGCTGCCTATTTGGGATATTTTCAGTGTCACTGAAATTTCCATCAGCTGAATTTCTTTCTCTCTTTTTCCTTTTTTCTTTTTCAATTTGGAGTGTGAGGCAAGAAGGCACACCTAATCACCTCACTGGAAAATTCTGCCTAAAAATCTGGTCCCAGAGGAAGACGCTTGGCTGACTTCATGGGGTGAACCAGTTCTCCTTCACGGGGGAGGCTAGTGCAGAGAAAAGCAGTTTATCCAAGGTGAAGAGCAACTTACAGAAGCTGACACTGATTTTTGCTGTAGGAAAAAGGCAGGGTGTTTTGCATGGGATAAGGACAAGCGGTGTTTTAAGAAAGATCAAAGTCCATGACTAATAAAGTCTTAGTACCTTGTCACAAAGGTCATTTCTCTACACATTCATGTGGCTTCGTGTGACCGATTTGTTCATTCCCTCTCCACACCTCTTTCTCTTGCCTATTTTCTTCTCTGCATTTTGTCAAGATATGCTTTTTTTGTTTTAAATTTTACTTTATTTTGCATGGTTCCAAAAATAAATACTAAATTTGCTTTGGAGGTGTACATATTGAATCCGCCTCACAGCATTCATTTGGGTAAACACCTTCTCCTACAGAGCAGAGGGCGGTGCTGAGTGGGCAAGTCACACGGACCTCTAAGTTTCATTTTCCCCGGCATGGGTTTCAGGCTACAACTAACGTGGACTGTGGATTGGCTCCTGTTACCTTTCCTACTCATTCTCTATCCCCTAGCACTTTGTTGACTTAGTGGAGGACTTTTGTTTAAATTAAATATTTTATTTTGGAAAGTAAATTTTAAACATACAGAAAAGTTATACAAATTTACAATGACCCTATATACTCTTCACTCATTATTAAAATTTTGGCACAGTTGCTTTAGTGCTCTTCTCTCTCACACACACAAACACACACACACACATCTACGTGTATATATATTAAATCAGTTTGGTTTGGGGGGGCGACTCTTTGAGAGAAAATTGCAGAGATTAAGGTTCTTCAGCCCTAAATAATTCAATGTATCTACTAGAATCAAAATATTTTCTGACGTAACCCCAGTACAATTATTATCAAGTTCAGGAAATTTAATTTTCCAACATATACAGTCAATAGTCAAACTTGGCTAATTATCCCAATATTGTCCTTTATATCAACTTTTTTCCAATACAGAATTCAAACCATAATCTTACGCATTTAGGTTTTTTATTATTAAACTTTTTATTTTGAGATAATTATAGTCATATGCAGTTGTGAGAAATAATGCAGAGAGATTCGAGCTTTTCCATTTCGTCAAACTGTGGTCCGTATTACAACCAGGATACTGACATTGACGCAGCCAACGGCAATACAGAACATTGCCACCAACACAAGAATCCCTCATGTTGCCCCTTTATAGCCATATCTACTTTCTTCCTACCCTACCCCCTCCTTAACCTCTGGCAACTACTAATCTATTCTCTATTTCTATGATTTTGTCATTTCAAAAATGTTATCTAAATGGAATCACACAGTATGTCACCTTTTGGGATTGACTTTTTTTCACGCAGCGTAATTCTTTGGCGATTTATCCAGATTGTTGGGTATATCAATGGTTTGTTCCTTTTTATTGCTGAGTAGTAGTCTATGATATGAATGTACCATAGTTTGTTTAACAATTCATCTGTTGAAGAATATCTGAGTTATTTACAGGTTTTGTCTGTTACAAATAAAACTGCTATTAACAATTGTATAAAAGTTTTTTGTGGGGGCCAGCCCAGTGGCATAGTGGTTAAGTTCATGCACTCTGCTTTGGCAGCCCGGGGTTTGTGGGTTCAGATCCTGAGCATGGACCTACACGCTGCTCGTCAAGCCACACTGTGGTGGTGTCCTGCGTATAAAATAGAGGAAGATTGGCACAGATGTTAGCTCAGGGCCAGTCTTCCTCAAGCAAAAAGAGGGAGTTTGGCAACAGATATTAGCTCAGGGCTGATCTTCCTCACCACAAAAAAAGGGAAAAAAAAGTTTTTTGTGTGGAAATAAGTTTTTCTTTTTCTGAGATAGATGCCCAGGAGTGCAGTTTTAGGTGGTATGGTAGTGCATGCCTAATTTTTAGGAAATCGTCAATTCTTTTCCAGAGTGACTAACATTTCACATTCCCACCAGCAGTATATATGTGATGCAGTTTCCCTGCATCCCTGCCAGCATGTAGTGTTATGATTCTTTTTTATTTAGCCATTCTGACAGGTGTATAGTAATATCTCATTGTGTGTCTCATATTTCATTTAGTTTTAATGTCTCTAGTTTCCTTTCATCTGGAGTTGACCTTTTATTGTCCTTCATGACACTGACATTTTTAGAGTACAGGCCTGTTGTTTCCTAGAATGTCTCTTAATTTGGATTGGTCAGCTTGTTTCCTCACGATTTGACTCAGATTTTGCATTTTGACAACAGTAGGACATACGTGATGCTGTGGTCTCTGTGCGTCACATCAGGAGCCACCCGCTGCCAGTTTCTCTTATTATTGGTGATGAGAACTTTCCTCACCTCGTTAAGGTAGTGTCTACCAGATTTCTCCACTATAAAGGTACCTGTTTCTCCCTTTCAATTAATAAGTAACGTGAGATGAGATACCTTGAAGAATGTGTGAACATTGTTTAACCCATGAGAACTGCAAAAGTTTTCCGCACAAACACTCCATTCAAACCCCTGCACTAAGAGACTTGGCCAAACTTTAACAGCTTCTAGCAGCCTAAAGCCACAGCCCTGGGACAAAGCCCCCTTTTGAGTTCCTGTCTGGAAAAGCTCAGGGCTGTGAAAATAATTCACTGTTTGTTCTAACCAACACCCTATGATAGGCCCTTGACCTCCCCTTCTTAGAGCACTTACTAAAAACAGCTTGCACTTGTGCATCCTTTCCTGTCCCTTCGAAATGTATATGTATCTCCTACAACTCAGGAGCATCTTTCTCAAGGACCTGAAAGCCATTCCTTTGAAATATCACCAGGAAGGATAGGGCCCTTGTCTCCCAGCCTCTGTGCGAGGACAAAATCCTCACTTCGGTAATTTCTGAAAGTAGACACAGCTGGCCTAGTCACATGTACACTGACCAACCTTTTCTGACTTTTCACTCGAGCCCCCCTCACTCCCCCTCCCCACACCTTCATTTTCCCTTGGAAACGCCCATCTCCTCTGTGCAAATCAGAATGGAGCTCAGCTCTTCCCCTGACTGTCAGTAATACTGAGTAAGATCTGTTTTCACTGCTTTAACTAGTATCTGGCTTTGTTTATCTTTGACCCCCAAGAAACTTTCATGGAATGGTTTTAGCTCCCCCTAATGATTCTATCATGGTCCTTCTGTGTTTATTATGGCATTCTGCTCAAAGAGCTTTCCCTTCTCCCCCTCCTCTCTGCCTGTTTCTTCACATCAGTATGGACTCAGGAATTCTTTTATATTCGATGTGTAGTGTCATTATTAATTTTTTTAATAATTTTTTTCTTTGAGGAGGATTAGCCCTGAGCTGACATATGCTGCCAGTCTTCCTCTTTTTGCTGAGGAAGGCTGGCCTTGAGCCAACATCTGTGCCCATCTTCCTCTACCTTGTATGTGGGACGCCTCCCACAGCATGGCTTGCCAAGCAGTTTGTAGGTCTGCACCCGGGATACAAACCAGCAAACTCCGGGCCGCCAAAGCGGAATGTGCGAACTTAACCACTGTGCCACCGGGACAGCCCCTGTCATTATTAATTTTGATGTTCAATTGGCCAATAGGAGCTCTGTTATACTGGTTCCTATGTCCTTATGCATGTTCCCCATCATTTTTTAAGTACTTCCTTACCTTCTGGCACAAGATATTTTAGGTTCATTTTGTACTTTTCCTGCCTCAGCCCTGAAATCAGCCAATTCTTCAATGACTCATGGTTCCTTTAAGAGGGGAATGGTATTTAGAAACCAAGATCCAGGCACCAGATGTTCTCATTGCCAGTGGGGTGTCATTGCTTCTAGGTCCTTTCAGTAGCAGAGCTAGGAAATAGAATTTTATTAAAAACAAACATGAGTTCATAGTGAAGACTCCAATTCCAACCCAATTTTACAATATTACCCAATATTACATACAGAGTTATTCCTGACTCTGTCCCATTCCATAATTGTATATTCCTTCTTCTACAGTGAGAACCCTGACTCCCGTTAGTATCAATTTATTTATTTGTTTGCTTAATCTGACAACACACACACAGTTGTTTCAGAACAGCTATACCCATACTCCTACCAACAGCAAACCTACCAAATAAAGTTCAAGATTTCTTTGCCATTCTTTTTATCTTTACACAGAAGATATATAGTCAGAGTATTATGTTCAATACTGTGGATCAGATTTTTTTCTCCATATATATGGTTGTGGTATTCGTTGGTTATACAGTTCAATGTATTTGTTTCTGTATGATGTAGTTTCAGGTGCCAATGGCATCTTTGGTGCATCTGTTGTGGATAAGAGCACAGGAAAATAGAACAATATTACCATCAAAAATGACAAGGGCCACTTGAGCAAGGAAGACAGTGAGCATAATGTCCAAGAAGCTAAGAAGTACAAAGCTGAATATGAGAAGCAGAGGAATATAGGGTCTTTCCAGACACCTTCAGTGCATGAACTATGCATTCAACATGAAACAATGGTTAAAGATGAGAAACTTTGGGGCCAGCCCAGTGGCATAGTGGTTCAGTTCACATGCTCCACTGTGGCTGCCCAGGGTTCATGGGTTCAGATCCCGAGTGTGAACCTACACACCGCTCATCAAGCCATGTGGTGGTGGCATCCCACATACAAAATAGAGGAAGATCGGCACAGATGTTAGCCCAGGGACAATCTTCCTCAAGCAGAAAGAGGAAAATTGACAACAGATGTTAGCTCAGGGCTAATCTTCCTCACCAAAAAAAAAAAAAGGGAGAGAAACTTCAAGGCAAAATCAAAGATGAGGACAAATAGAAGATCCTTGACAAGTATAATGAAGTTATCAACTGGTTCAATTAGAATCAGACTGCAGAGAAGGAAGACATTGGACATCAGCAGGAAGAGCTGGAAACAATCTGCAACTTTATCAAGTTGTACCAGAGTGCAAGAGGCATGCCAGGAGGAATGGCTGGGGCCTCCCTGGTAATGGAGCTCCTGCATCCGTGGTGCCTCTTCTGGGCCCACCATTGAAGCAGTTAGTTAAGTCAACCTGAGCACAGATACCTCAGCATTGCTCCACAGTAAAAAATTGAAGGAGCCAAATTTATAGCAAATTGAGTGACAGTTTTAAGGTTACTAGACTAAATTACTGGGCATTCTCATTACTTGAATAGGGAATATGTACACAGGAAAAGGAGGTAACATTGCATTTTATTAGCATTGTGTTGTAAGTGGAAAATACAGTTTATTAAACAAAAGCTGCATTTAAAATCAGTGCAAAAAGAAGCTTATTTTAAAAAAATGTTTGGTCAGTCCAAAGTTTCAAAAGGAAAAAATCACTGGGCAGGCTCATCAGAATGGAGATGGCAGAAGAAAAAATTAGTGAACTTGAAGATTTGAGTAATAAAAATTACCCAATATTAAAAGCAGAGAGAAAATAGACTGAAAAAAATTAATAGAGCCTCAGTGGCCTGTGGTGCTGTAATGAAAGATCTGACATTCACGTCATGAAGTTCCAAAAAAAGAGAAGAAGGTGTGAGGCCGAAAAGTATTCAATGATACGATGGCTGAAAATTTCCCAAATTTGGCAAAAAACGTAAACCTACAGATTCAAGAAAGTGCGTGGACTCCCAACAAGATAAGACCAAAGAAATCCATATCAATAAACATTGTAATGAGGCTTCTGTAAACTAAAGGCAAAGAAAAGGAGCAAGACAGAAATGACATCTTTTCTGTAAAGGAAAAGCATTTCAAAAGAGTGACAGTGGATTTCTCCTCAGGGTCCGGAGAGGCCAAAGCAAAGTGGCCCAACATTCTCAAGTGCTGGAAGAATAGAGCCGGCAACCAAGAATCCCATCATCCAGCGAAAACACACTTCAGGAATGAAAGAGATAGCAAGACATTGTCGGATGAAGGGTAACTGAGAGAATGCGCCACCAGCAGACCTGCCCTGAAAGAGCGGCTACAGGAAGCTCTTGACATTGAAAGGAAATGATACAAGAAAGAATCTTAGAACATCAAGGAGGAATACAGAACAACACAAAGGGTAAAAATATCGGGAAATACACTAGACTTTCCTTCTCCTCTTCAGTCTTCTAGAGTATCTTTGATGGTTGAAGCAAAAATTATAACATTGTCCAATGTTGTTCTCAAAGTATCTAAAAGAAATATTTGAGATAAATGTTATAAATGAGGGAGGGCAAAAAGGACTTAAAGGAATGTAAGATCTCTACACTTCACTTAAACTGGTAAAATGTCCACAGTAGACTGTGATACCAATATAATGTAGCACCTAGAGCAACCACTGCAGAATTTACACAAAGAGATACACTCAAAATCACTATAGATAAATAAAAATGGAATTCTAAAGCAAGGCACAAATAACCCATAAGAGGCGGTAAAAAGAAAACAGAGAATAAAAGAACAGAGGAAAAAATGGATAAAAAAATTAAACAGCAAGCCTAAGCCCTAACATAACAATAATTGCATTCAATGTAAATGGTCTATAGGCCAGCACCCATGGCCTAGTGGTTAAGTTTGGCACTGTCTGCTTCAGCGGCCCAGGTTTGGTTCCCAGGCATGGACCTATACCACTTGTCTGTCAGTGGCCATGCCGTGGAGTTGGTTCACATACAAAAAGAGGAAGATTGGCAACAGATGTTAGCTCAGGGTGAACTTCTTCAGCAAAAATAAAGTAAATGGTCTAAAGACATGGATTAAAAGACAGATTGGCAGAGTGAGTTAAAAAAAAAAACATAAACCAACGATATGCTGTCTACAAGAAACTCACTCCAAATGTAATGATATAGTAGGTTGATAGTAAACCATGCAAACAATAATCAAAAACAGCAGCAGTGGCTATATTAATATCAGATAGAGTGGAATTCAGAGCAAAGAAAACTATAAGGGACATTATATAATGATAAAAGGATCAATCCACCAAGAAGACATGGAAATCCTAAACGTGTATGCATCAAAAAGTACAGATGCTGGGGCCGGCCTAGTGGCGCAGCGGTTAAGTTCAAATGTTCTGCTTCGGTGGCCTGGGGTTTGCAGGTTCGCATCCCAGATGCAGACCTACACACCGCTTGTCAAGCCATGCTGTGGCAGGCGTCCCACACAAAATAGAGGAAGATGGGCATGGATGTTAGCTCAGGGCTTATCTTCCTCAAAAAAAAAGTACAGATGCTGAGCCAGCCCTGGTGGTCTAGTGGTTAAGATTCGGCACTCTCACCACCGTGGCCTGGGTTTGTTTCTGGGTCATGGAACTACACCACCCATCTGTCAGTTGTCATACTGCAGCAGGGGCTCTCAGAGAGAACTAAAAACTAACAACTAGGATACACAACCATGCACTGAAGCTTAAAAAAAAAAAAGTACAGATGCCAAATATGTAAAGCAAAAAGTGATAGAACTAAAAGGAGAAATAGACAAATCTACATTTATAGTTAGTGATGTCAAGACCCTTCTCTCAATAGTTGATAGACAGCTAGACAGAAAAATCAGCAAGGATAATAGAACTCAGCAATGCCATCAACCAACAGTATCTAATCGATATTTATAGAACACTTTATCCAACAACAGCAGAATACATATTCTTTTCAAGTGCACATGGAACGTTTACCAAGACAGACCATTTCCGACCACTGATACAGCATATCAAAATTGTGGGACATAGCTAAAGCTTTCTAAGAAAGAAATTTATAGCATTTAGATGCTTGTGTTAAAAAAGAAGAAAATTCTCAAATCAGTAAACTAAGTTCTCACCTTAAGAAACTAGAAAAACAAGAGCAAGATAAACCCAATTCGAGCAGAAGGAAGAAAATAATAAAGATAAGAACATAAATCAATGAAATGGAAAAACAGATACACAATGAAAAAAAACAAAGAAACAGAAAGTTTATTCTTTGAAAAGATCAATAAAATTGACAAATCTCCAGCACAACTGACAAAGAGAAAAAGAAGATACAAATTATCACTCTCAGGAATTAAACAGGGGATGCTGCTGGAGACCCTGCAGATAGAAGAGCATAAGCAGAGAATACTACAAACAATTCTACACACAGAACTTTGACAACTTACTTTAACGGGACCATCCTTGAAAAGTACAAACTACCACAACTCACCAATATGAAAGAAATGATTTGAATAACCCTATAACTTTTAGAGAAATTGAACTTTTAATTTTTAAAACTCCCCAAAAAAGAAATCTCCAGGCCCAGCTGGTTTCACTGTCGGAGTCTATGAAGTATTTTAAGAATTATCATCAATTCTACACTTCCAGAAAGTAGAAGAGGAGGCAGCGCTTCCCAACTCATTTTATGAGACCTGACTGCCTGATACCAAGTCAGACAAAGACAATACAAAAAAGAGAAAACCGCAGGCCAATATCTCTCATGAATATTGTGCAAAAATCCTGCACAAAAAATTAGCAAATAGAATTCAGCAATATACAAAAAGAATTATATACTTCGACCAAGTAGGGTTTTTTTTTTAAGGATTTTATTTTTTCCTTTTTCTCCCCAAAGCCCCCCGGTACATAGTTGCACATTCTTCATTGTGGGTCCTTCTAGTTGTGGCATGCGGGACGCTGCCTCAGCGTGGTTTGATGAGCAGTGCCATGTCCGCGCCCAGCATTCGAACCAACGAAACACTGGGCCGCCTGCAGCGGAGCGCACGAACTTAACCACTCGGCCACGGGGCCAGCCCCCAAGCAGGATTTTATTCCAGGGATGCAAGTCTGGTTCAATGTTCAAAAATTAATGTAATCCACCATATTAGCAGGCTAACAATCATTCAACTGATCCAAGAAAAGCATTTAACAAAATTCAACCCCTATTCATGATTTAAAACTCTTAGAAAACTAGTAATAGAAGGGAACTTACGTCCTATATAATTCCATTTATATAACTTTTTCAAAGTGATAAATTATGGAGATGGAAAACAAATTAACGGTTGCCAGTGGTTAAGGGTGGTTGGGAGAGAGGGATGAGTGTGAGTGTCAAGGGATAGCAGGAGAGAAATTGTTCCTCAAGATGATGGAACAGTTCCTCATCTTGATTGCAGTGGTAATTACATGAATCTACACGTGATAAAATGGCATAGAGGTACACACATGTTGTGTCAATGTCACTTTCCTGGTTTTGATATGTAAAATATAATTGGAGGAAACTGGGTAAAGGGTACACTCAACCTCTCTGTACTGTTTTTGTGACTTCTTATGAATCTATAATTATTTCACAATAAAAGGGTTTTTTTTTTAAAAAAAAAAGGTGATGTGCATTTTTACTGGATTGCATTAAATGTATAAATTAACTTACGGAGAATAATATGTTTATTTTGTTGAATTACTAACCAATAATAAGGAATGTCTTTAAATTTGCTTGTCTACTTTTGTGTCTTTGAATTTAAAGGTTTTCTCATAAAGGCTTCTAAATATTTCTTAAGTTGTAATTTCTAAGTATTTCTCTTTTTGTTGCTGTTAATGGAGGTTTTCTCTTTCACTGTATCCTAACTAATTATCATGTTTGTAAAATGAAGGCTATTAATTCTTGGAAGTTAATATCCTACTTTACTGACATATTTTGTTTTTTAGTCTTATTATGCATAGGATTTTCCAAATGTACCAAGATATCATCTACAAATAGAGTTTTACATCTTCATTTTCATTTATTCTTCTTCTAATTATTTTCCCTTATCTAACTGCATTAGATAATACTTCTAGTACGAGTTAAATAGTAGTGGAGATACTAGGCATCCTGCACCCTTGCCTTGTTCTTGACCTTGATGGAATGCCTCTAGTGTTTCCCCATTAAGAAGCTGGCTTTAAGACTGATGGAATTCCTAATGTTGAACCAGAGTGGAATTCCTGGAATAAATCCCTCTTGGTTGTGCTGTATTTTTTTAGTGTGGTATGACTTCTGTTTACTAATATTTTACTAATGATTTTTGCATTCACATTTATAAGGAAAGCCCCTTTATGTGTTTTTAAATTTCCCCCCACTGCAAGATAATGGGACCTGCTTAGGTGGACCATGTTCTGCCTCATTGACCTTGAGCCGAATCAACAGCCTTACAGCCTTTTAGTTTCTAAGCCCCAAATACAATATATAGAAGGTCACGTAAGGAAGTCCATTCTGCATATTCATGAAAAAATGTGGATAAATGAGGGCCCACCTTTACTGTTGAGGATTCTGTTGCATAAGAGAAGGAAGGCCATCCTAAGCACTACAAAATTTGCTTATCAGCATTGATATCCTCCCTTTCTGCTCCACTCGCTCTCTCACACTCACTTGTATCATCCCTAAAATGGTCAACATGATAAATTTGTCACAAGGCCTAAAAAAAAAAAGCTAATTATAGCAGTGGTTTTTGTTTGTTTTTGTTTTTGTTTTTCAATCTTCTTTTTTTCCTGCTTTTTCTCCCCAAAGACCCCCAGTACATAATTGCATATTTTAGTTGCAGGTCCTTCTAGTTGTGGCATGTCGGACGCCGCCTCAGCATGGCCTGACGAGCGGTGCCATGTCCGCGCCCAGGATCCGAACCAGGGAAACCCCAGGCCGCCGAAGCGGAGCACACGAACTTAACCACTAGGCCATGGGGATGGCCCCTGTTGTTTTTTTAAGGTAGACAGTTTGGATTCACAACACAAAAAGGGAAGTTTTTGGTCCCTTTAGCAGATTTGCATTGTAATAGGAAAAGCAGTTCCACTGGAGTAGACTCAGTGACCCTTGAAAACTCAGAATAGTGGGGCTAGTGGCAATTTTGTGTTAGAGAAAAGTTAAATGCTGATCAAATTGCTGATAGAATCAGCAGTTTGGAGAAAATAAGCATAATAACTTCTTTCTTAGAAGGTTCATTTTGGAGCCTAAGTTGATGCTGTCAAAGGCTGGAGTCTGTCTCTCTCGTTGAAAATTCAGGACCCAGGACTGCAGATGCTGGGGTAAGGGGTATATATTAACATCCATGCTCCCAACTGGAAAGAACCAAGAAGTACATTCAGAAACTGGGCAGAAAAGGAAAGATGATTTCACTGGATATTATGTTAACTATGGACTCTTCTAATTCCTAGGGTAAAGCATAAAAAAGTAAAAATGACTTTTTTTTCTGTAGGTGAAAATGACTTAGGTGTCCCTGAGAGCTGGCATTAGGATTCAAGAAACTGGATAACCCAGGCTAAAACCAAGTGAGCTCGCCAGCAGCCTGCTGAAGGCTGTCACACCAGTCTCTTATCGAGTGTCTGCCAAACTTGCTTTAAGGTCTTAAGAAGCCTCACCAATCCCCTGCTGGAGAAAGAATTACAAAGCTGCCTGTGGCAGGCAATGGTTGAGAATCACCCACTTTCCTATTGACCCTCTTTGTAGGGACACATCTCCAATTCTAAAATCCCATAATCCCACTTCATTAACAAAGCCATAAAAGCTGAGCAGGGCTAGAGGTGCCCAACCCCACCAAATGAGGAGAAATGGAAGAGGAGACACTGGGGGGAAATATATCCAAGGCCCTTATGTATCATCATCTCTCAAACTTTCCTGCTGCCCCATTCCCCTTTACTCATACCTCGTAGACATCTCTTCTGTGACTTTGCCATTTGTGTTTATTTTAACCTAATTCACATAAACCTAGAGGAAAGGAACATACCGTAAGTGATTTACCCCAGCCCTAAACCCTGGCCTTGGGGCCGTGGGGGTATTCTCTCCCTAATTAGGTCATAATTATACACTCAGGAAATCCTTTGAGGCTTATCTGAAATCCATGGGTAGGTCTCTTACTTCTGTCAAGAGGGCACATGCCCCTTCTTGAGAAGGGACTGACAGCTCTACCGCAGCGAAGTCTGTCCATGCAGACACCTGTGGAACTTGGTGCAGGAATGATCCTGGCAGGGGAGGCCACAGTGGACAGCAATCTGGACCTCCTTTTTTTACCACCATGTTCTCTTTCACAGAAGAGCAAGAAAGTATGATCTCTTTGAAAACAATCCTCTAGAAGTGATTAGCATCACTTCTTACCTAATCTTCCTTTTCTTGGAACATTTTACTCTATTCTTCTCAGGACTTCTAAGGAATATAGAATAGAAACATTTAGCGAAAGTCAACAGTTAACGAGGTGCACATTTAATGCATAGGGACCTACGTAAGGGCCCAATCCTGGGTATCTTACCAGTAGTTTAAAAGCAGCCTTTTGATTTTTCCTAAAATCCTACCAGAGCTGCCAACTTCAGGGAAGAGATACATTAACTTGTCCTCTCCTTTGTAAATGATACAGACTTTTGTTTTTCCTCCATCCGTCATTTTATGAGGCAGCAGTTGGAACCTGGCACAAATACTAAGAGATAAAAACAGTGTCGGGTAGACAAGAGAATAGAATTGCTGATCCCTGCTATACAAGCTCCAAGCTTACTGTCTCCAAGATGTAAATAAACTTTGGTTTCTTCATCCATAAAATGAGCAGAATACCCATTTTGAGATTATTGAGAGGATTGGAGGTAAGGTATGTATGCCTATAGAGATAAAGTGTAATAGATACCCTACGTAAAACCTTCCAAATGCTTCTGTTTCACTTAGAAAAAAGTCTGAACTCCTCATCATGGTCTGTAAAGCTGAATATGCTCTGGCCCCTCTTGGTTCTTGTGTCTTGTCTCCACCTCTCACCACCCTCCAGCACATAGACCTCCTTTCTGTTCTTAGACACTCCAAGCTTGTTCCCACACATGCCTGGCCCTAGGCCAGCATCCTCGGACTCCAGCTCTTTCCTCTCGTTTAGGTCTCACTGAGGCCTTCTCTGCCCCGATCTAAAGGAGCACTCCCGCAGACACTTTCTCTCATTGCTGCTCTTCTACTTCGTATCACTTGACACTATCTGAAACTATCTCATTCATTTATTTGTGTATTTACGAGGGCAGGAAATGTCTGTCTTGTTTCTCACTAACTCTAGCTCTTCAAACAGTGCCACTCCCTTCCCAGAATCTTCCCAAAGCCCAGATCTTTCCTTTCCCTAGTGTTTTACCATTCCCCAGCCAGCAGGTTGTGTTGGGGGAGGGGGAGCAGCCTAATCTAGAATTAAAAATCCTGATCAGGCCTCCTCACATGTGTAACTTGGCTTCACTCTACCCCAGAGACAATGACCCTCATTTTCTTTAGTGACACAAAGCTGTTCCTACCCAATAGAGGGTCTGACAGAGCTCAGCGTCCATTTTCAGCCAGTACCTATGAGTACTGGTATCAGACACCCTCATCCCGTGTAAGACAAATCAGGCTGGAGTTGGGAGTATGGCCTATTGCTCTTGGAATAGTCAAATGTGCTTGAAGTAGAGCAGCATAAATAAAGAGGCACAGCCAAGAGGAACATGTATATTTAAAATTCCTCCCCTTCATTTTCCTCTTCAAACGAATCAGTCCCCACTTCTTCATAATCCTTCTCCAGGGCAGCCAGGTCTTCCCTGGCCTCGGAAAATTCTCCTTCTTCCATTCCCTCTCCAACATACCAATGCACAAAGGCCCGCTTGGCATACATGAGGTCAAACTTGTGGTCAAGGCGGGCCCAGGCCTCCGCAATTGCTGTGGTGTTGCTCAGCATGCAGACAGCCCGCTGGACTTTGGCCAGGTCCCCTCCCGGTACCACAGTAGGTGGCTGGTAGTTGATGCCCACCTGAAGAACAGAGAGAGAAGAGGAGCAACAAAATAAGACGCAAGGCAGCCAAAGGATAACTCAAGATGGGAAGATCTTGGGAATGTGGTTGGTAGCAAGACACAGTTGTAGATGTGAGAACAGGACTGCAGGACTGGATGGGAAAAGAGGGAGTCCGGAGGTTGGGAAAGCTGGCAGCTAGAGAGGTGAGTGTTGAAGAGAAAGTAAAAGTGAGTGGGATTGGTACAGGCAAATTCAAGAGGAGGGGCTGGGGAATCTGGAGACTGGGGCAGAAAAGGATAACAGGGCTGGTAATAAGTAGAAATGTCAGTGGGGAGATTCCAGCAGACCAAGGAGGGTAACGAATGAGATTAAGAGGAAGGTGTACAATATATGTTTATCTCTAAAAGGGAAATAGATCCCTTTTAGAGGCAAATTAATTTCTAGACTTGAAGTTATTGTAAAGTTTATTCTTTCCCAAATGGTCATCTGAAGTTCCTCTTTGCTGTGCTGTCAATAAACTTAGGGAAGTTTCTCTGCCAAGGGTGAAAGACTGTTCAAAAGGTCATGGAGATAGTCCAGAAAAATAAATAAAAAGATCCAAAAGAGTTCGGGGATGGTATTAGTGTTAACCAGGCTCTGTGTCTCTGGGGAGTGGGGCTTCTTGGAAGAAAGTAAGGACTCCGGTCAAAGAAAGTTAGGGAAAACTCTCGCCTGGACGAGCCAACTTCCCAAGTTCTGGTGGCACGACAGGGTCCTCCGAGCTAACCCCAGCGCAGACTGTTAGTGGGGCTGCCATCCTAGAAATCTCCCTTCTCCTCACACACATATCCTAAACCAAAGCCAACCCCAGGAACTGTAGGAAACTGGAAAAAGTCTAAGGTGACAAACTGTGATAATATTTATGGGACACTGAGAACCATGGTGCTGTCTGAAAAATCCCTCTCCTACCCAGCCCACTATGCCTTAATTGTCAGTCTCTTAAATTCACTGCTTTAAAATGCATGTCTCTGAGAGGTGGAGGTGGGGGTGGCAGCAGGCTATATATACAGCCAGGTGGGTAACCCATTACCTGAATTCACAATGGTCTGTCATTCCTCTTAGACAAAAGAGGCATCTTGGTAGTGGAGGTAATGCTGAGACAGGGGCAAAGGACCAAAAATGAGAATGGGAAGGGCAAGGAATGTAAACTTTGCCCTCATGTATATTGCTAGATCTGGCCCGGACTAGCAAAACTTTGTGCCTAGAGCCAACTCTCCTCTCTCTTGAACAGTTGTATCTCTTGACCTGAGTGAAGTGGGGACAAACACCCTCGGGGAGGATACAAGAGGATGAAGTTCAACAACATCCACCCCCATGGCATGTGCTTTCCTGAAAAGCAGTTAAAGATGCTAGCGCTACGTTATCTTTCTGGACATAACCCCAGAGCTTCAGCTTAAAATAAAGGAGAGAGCATGAAGGGGCATCTCCTTTTTGTTACCTCCCTAACCATCCTCATATCTCATATTTTAACTTTTTTCCTATTCATTTTCCTAATAGCTCGATTGGTTGTTTGTTTCCATTTGAAAAAGAAAAAATAGGCATAGTCTAGGGGGAAAGATTATACATCTAGCTAAGAATAGAGTAGTGAGGAAGAATGCTACACTCCCTTACTCAGTAGATCAGCTGGGTCAAAGCCTCATACGCAAACAGGTCAGCCAAGTCGCTGGCATATGGTGCCTTGTTTTTGTAAGTCCCACCAGGGAAAAACAGATATGCTCATCTCTGTATCTCCAGAAACTGGTACAACCATCCCTGGTACTCTGTAAACCTCTGAATTATTAAAGTCATGACTGGGAGGTACTAATTAACACAATCTGGCTGATGAGGCAGTTGAGGTTGGTATACGCGGGACGTTCAATGTCTAGTTATTTTGATGGTGGAATCTAGTTAAAAACCATAGCAACACAGGACAAAGTGGTCAAGCAGTTCACATGCACATAGCCAGCTGCCTCCCCACCCAGTGCAACTCAAAGGGTGGCTTCTAACACTCAACATCCACTAGTCCTAGGAGCCCGGGTCTTCTCTGGCTATTCTATGTCTCCCCTCCAACCCTCAGAGTCTGGCATTTTCCTGATCTACAACAGGCTTCCTCAGCTTCTGCTTATTCCTAGTCAATGGAAAATGTCAGGGCTTCATAATATAAGTGATTCACAATCATATAAAACCATAAAATTTCTTATCCTTACTCTATTTTTTTTTTTTTTTTGAGGAAGATGAGCCCTGAGCTAATTGCTGCCAATCCTCCTCTTTTTTGCTGAGGAAGACTGGCCCTGAGCTAACATCCATGCCCATCTTCCTCTACTTTATATGTGGGACACCTACCACAGCATGGCTTGCCAAGTGGTGCCATGTCCGTACCTGGGATCCGAACCAGCAAACCCCGGGCCACCAAAGTGGAACGTGTGCACTTAACTGCTGCGCCACCAGGTCGGCCTTATCCTTACTCTAAATTGATTAAGACCTACAGGGTGAATATTTAACTTTTCAAAATAAATTGGGAGAAGAACATATCTTTTGTTAGAGGAGGAAATTATACCTCTCTGACAACGTTAGTAATTTGGTTAGCTTCATTCTCTGATCTATTGTCAGATCACAGCCACCTCCACCCATTTATCCTGTTCATCCCACCTGCCCACACAGGTTCTTTCTAGCCTTGTTCACTCCTCCTTATAAAAGAAAAACCCTTTTCTGCCTGACCTTTGAGATGCTTGGAGATCTTCAGTAGGAGGAGTAGAAGACTTTCCCTATTGCAATAGTGCCCGTCCGCCTATTGCGACAGTCTTCCTCCCCCTCTTTCAATAATCCTTTCAAATAAAGTCTCTCTACCTAAATTAAATGAATGAATGCAACTGAAGTTATATTTGGCTTAAGCCATTCTTTCCATATCATCCCATAAACCTGAGCTCCCATGGAATTGTATACCAGTCCAAGACCCTGGAGTTTACGCATCTTTCTCCCCCATCCTTGGTAATCTCTCTCAGCTTCCCTAGCTATCTATCTCCTCCCTAAGTCATCAGCTCTCACCTTGAAACCTGTGGGACACCAGTCTACAAACTGGATGGTCCTCTTGGTCTTGATGGCGGCAATAGCAACATTCACATCCTTGGGCACCACATCCCCGCGGTAGAGCATGCAGCAGGCCATGTACTTGCCATGTCTCGGGTCACACTTCACCATCTGGCTGTTGGGCTCAAAGCAGGAGCTGGTGATCTCAGCCACAGAGAGTTGTTCATGATAGGCTTTCTCAGCAGAAATGATGGGTGCATATGTGACCAGGGGGAAGTGGATGCGGGGGTAGGGCACCAGGTTGGTCTGGAACTCGGTGAGGTCCACATTGAGAGCCCCATCAAAGCGGAGAGAGGCAGTGATGGAGGACACAATCTGGCTGATGAGGCGGTTGAGGTTGGTATACGTGGGACGCTCAATGTCTAGGTTCCTGCGGCAGATGTCATAGATGGCTTCATTATCCACCATGAAAGCACAATCTGAATGTTCCAGTGTGGTGTGGGTGGTCAGGATAGAGTTGTAAGGCTCGACTACTGCAGTAGAGACCTGGGGGGCCGGGTAAATAGCAAACTCTAGTTTGGACTTCTTGCCATAATCCAGAGAGAGGCGTTCCATCAGCAGAGAAGTGAAGCCTGAGCCAGTGCCACCACCAAAACTGTGGAAGATCAGGAAGCCCTGCAGGCCAGAGCAGGCATCTGTCTGGGAGAGTAGGACAAGAGAAGAGAAGTTTCTGAGAATACCCTCAGGTGGACAAAGGCAGGCAATGCCACTCCATCCCTCAACATTTTTATGTGGGTGAAATTAAAATAAGCCTTGAAGGAGTAAGGAAACAGAAAAGGATTTAGATTAATCTTGGGAGGACTAGCTAAGATATTGGGTGACAAATTGCACATGCACATCACTCTAGGTTGATGAAGGTTCCAGCCCAGTGGCTTGGTTGAACCAAGAATGAGAGTTGTAGAACCAAAGTGGTTAATGACTTTGCCTTTTGAGAGCCCCAACTCCTTGCCCAGTTCCCCTGTGCTTGTCATTTGATTTTTTGGGAACTGCTGACCTGCACATAGCCCAACCTTGCAAGGTGGCTCAGGGTACCAATTTCAGAAACAGACACAGAGTCAGAGAACCCGAGTTTTAATATCATCTTTGCCATTTCCCAGTTGTAAAAACTTGAGCAAGTTATTGAACCTCCCCAGACTTCTTTTTCTTCTTGGTTAAAGTGGGGACAATAAAAAATACTCATTTCATAAGGTTATTGTGATAATTAAATGAGATAGCATGATGTGCTGAGCAAGGACTTGACATGGAGTAAGTACTCGCTGTTCGTGCTTATCAGAACTCAGAGAATTCATAGAGTCACAGGATTTTCCCACTGGATGTGATCTATGATCATTAAATCCAGTGGTTCTGAACTTCTGGGGATCACAGATGGCTTTGAGACTGATGAGCCCTCCTCTAAATAGAAAAGGTGAACATATACAAAAATATGGTATCCTTAGCTCCCAAGCAAAGAACCCCTGATCAAGTCCAACCTTTTACACTGCACAGATAAGGAAATGGGGCTCAAATAGATAAAGTGGCCCACTCTACAACTCAGAGCTTCCTAGTCCAGCCAACCTGGGTCAAATCCTAACTGTGCTACTTTCTAGCTGTGTGACCTGGGCTGTTATTGAACCATCCTGGCCTCAATTTCTTCTGCAAGTACAGAGGAGAGACCGCCTTTGTATCATTATTAAGGGGATTAAATGAACCAGTGTATTTAAGTGACATTTGTAATGGCATTTGTAAGTGCTGAAATGTATCAACAATCTCTTCCTCTTCTCTTCCAAGTTAAATGCTTTGTTAACCTATGCTTCCAACAAGCAAAGAGCCAGCCTTCCTTATACCTGGAGTTTCCCCCAGGTACTACCATAGAGTGTCAAGAAGTATTATAGGGCATCAGCCTAGAGTAGTCCATGATGTCCAGGCAGAGGAAGGGGTACCATCCCCGTGAATGCTCCTTTCAGAACATAAGCAGAAATTCTCAAATCTTAGGAGCTTTATCCTGTAGCCAGCGGTCATGTGCCCCTACTCAGCATGTTCAGAGGGGTTTGAGTCCAAGCCTGTCCACTTTAGCTTGACTTACCAATCCCCTGCCCTTGTTAACACTTACCAGCTTCCGTATGCGGTCCAGCACCAGGTCGATGCTCTCCTTGCCCACTGTGTAGTGGCCCCGGGCATAGTTGTTAGCTGCATCCTCCTTTCCTGTGATCAGCTGCTCTGGATGAAAGAGTTGGCGGTAGGTTCCTGCCCGAACCTCATCTACCAAGAGATGGGGACCATCAGGTCTTACTACCTGGTTTCCAGAGGAGATGCCTCTCTCCCCATTAGAATACCACATGACTCCCTCCTGGGTCTCCATTTCCCCTACCTGTAAGACTCCACTGAGGTGAAACCAGACAGCCCTATGATAAAATCTGCCAAACGCTGAGAGAATTCTGGGTAACAAAGGCTCTAACAGAGCCTGAAGCCTGTGACTCAAGCAGGCAATGAGAAGCCAGCTCTTCTGCTGGTTTGGAACTTTAAAAAGTCTTAGGCTTACATAACTCACCAAACACCGAAGTTGAACGCCTCTCCTTTCTACCTTGACCCCTCCAGGCTTCCCTTTTATTTTTTCTGTCTTGCTGCAAGTTTACCCAAAAATGTAACCCAATTTCACTTGCATTAAAATGTTCTAGGGACATGGAGAAAGATTCAGGGTGATCTGCCCAGTTCCTAGGCTCTCCCAGGAATTGTCCCATCCTTAACCTCCACCCCAGGGTGGCAATAATGTATGTCAGGCAGTAGAGATATTTTAGGGTGACTTTGAAGCAAAGCTGTACTGCAGGTTCCAGAAGAGCAGGAGCCCTGGAGAGGCTGTCAAGGGGACTCTGCGCACCTCTCAGGGTCCACACAAAGTGGACATGTGCCCGACTAAGATGCACCAGGCCCCAACTACATCCCCTCTTCTCTTCATGGACCCTCTAACCCCCCACCCCCAGGGAAATCACCCATTTGCACAGTGGCCTGGGAAGGTAATCTGCACTTTTCTTTTCCCTAAGGAATATTTGTCCTGAGCTAACATCTGTTGCCAATCTTCCTCTTTTTTTGCTTGAGGAAGATTAGCCCTAAGCTAACATCCGTGCCACTCTTCCTCTATTTTACATGTGGGATGCCTCCACAGCATGGCTGACGAGTGGCATAGATCCGTGCCTGGGATCCAAACCTGCAAACCCAGCCACTGAAGCAGAGTATGCCGAACCTAACCACTAGGCCATGAAACCAGCCCAGGTAATCTGCACTTCTTCTATTTGTGCAGAGTATCCAAGGGGTAGTTACCTGTAGTCTGTTGACCCTGAAAATTAGAATTCAGACATTTGCCCAAATTCTCTGGGGAACCTGTCCATCCCTTGCTTGGTGAGCCAGCCTTGAAGCTGAGGATATCCTGACGCTGAGCTGAGGACTGCCCCAGAGGAAGTGGGACTGGGAGGAGGGAGTTCACAGGGGACGGGGAAGAGGGGAAGCAGCAAGAATCCTGCCCCAACACAAGTCAGAATTCCTGTTTTCCAAGATCCAAATGAGGTTTATTCTAGAACTACAGCGACCTCTGGATATGAGGAGAATGTGCCTGCTGTTAATCCATTTTGTATGCAAGATAGAGACCTGTGAGAACAGACTGCAATTACTATAGAATCAGAACCCTATACTTTGGGAAATTGACTATTTGCAGGCTTCTTATAATTTCTAAAATTATTTAGATTTTTTACCGTTAGTGTTTAGTAAAGAATCTTGACAGTTTCAGTCTGTCTCAGCAGGTGTAAGGGGTTTAAGTAGTGTGCACTTTGTTCTGCATAGCTTAGAGCTATAGTGGGAGCAGAGATCCCTGATCCCTACTGGAAGGTTCCCCAAGACTGTGGAGAATTCAAGGAGCTAAGAGGGGTGAGATGGAGGAACTCTAGTTGAGTCCTTCCAATTAGAGATTCTGCAGTCATGAGCCAAGGCCTCTGCAGCTTCATTGTCGTTTTCTGGAGAGGACCCTAGCCCACACTCACCTACTACAGTAGGCTCCAGATCTACCATGACAGCCCGGGGCACGTGCTTCCCATTGCCAGTCTCACTGAAAAAGGTGGTGAATGAGTCGTCGTCGTTGATCTTGCTGGTCTGGGCAGCAAAGGTGCCATCCGCCTGGATGCCATGTTCCAGGCAGAAGAGCTCCCAGCAAGCATTGCCAATCTGAACTCCCGCTTGACCCACGTGGACTGATATGCATTCCCGCTGTAGGGAGAGTACAAAGTCAAGGTCAGAGAGTCCTGGGCCCCTGGCCATGCCTTTGGCCTTTGTTCCCACATGTGAGGACCTGTCCCTCCCTGGTCTTCAACTGGCAGCATATGCATCCCTCCAGCCATGCCATCCCAGAACCAGGTGGGGGCTGAGGTTTCCAGTGTCTGGGCACCACTGCATCTGGACCAAGATCCGACTCCAGAGAAGAACCATGGTTTTGTGGCTTGCTCTAAAGGTTGCTTTCCAGGGTTAATCCTTTGTACCAGGAAAAGGAAGATGAGGGCTGCTGGACAGAGGAAACAGGGGCTCATTCCAAACCATGAAACCCTGTGCTGATGAAGGAAGTCAAAGGAGGAATCAGCAATAACAGCAGACAGTACTCCTAAAGTCACTACCAGACACAGTGGCAGCATTCTATTCATGCCCAGATCCTGAATTTCCTAGACAACAGTGACACACACACACACAGTCTCAAAATACCATAGAGCAGATAAAAACTCACGGAAGGAGGATCAGGGTCTGGAAGTACGTATCATAGGTATCATTAGTGTTCTGGTTACAAATGTAGGAATAAGATGGATTGGCACAGCAGCAAGGGAGGGTTGGGAGCGTATAAATTAGGCTCTTCCTGAACTCTGAGAAGTGGGAAATTTCTTCATAGCCATCGTCACCTGCTCCCTTGCCTATGTCAGGCCAAGTGTTAAATAAAGCTGACATTTAGAGTGTCCTTATCTCTGTGTTACTCTGGTGTCAAGCCACAATTACCTGATTGGTCCTAGTGCTAACAGCTTAAGATGGGGAGGTGTGTGTGTGAGAGTGAGAATATGAATGTGTGAGTGTGTGTATATGAACAGAAACTGACCGTGGGGTTTTGCTGGGAGGATCGCCTCATCCCCCCTGCAGGGAAGCAGTGGCTGGCACAAGGTGCCTCTGTGCCCATGACACCCACCAGAGCCCAGCAGGGAAGCATGTGCCTGGTCTGTGAGTTTCTATTCTTATCCATGACCCAACCTGGCATTTTCCAGCTCTGGGTAACCCAAGCCAGGAGCAGAACCTCCAGAGAGCATGGCTGGGCATAGAAATACATCGAGTCCACGTCAGACCATGGGGCTCCTGGGAACTTGGAGGCTCTCTGAGAATGGGAGGAGGGCAGCCACCCTGAGTAACATCTCAAAGGGTTAGAGGAGTCAGGACCCATTGCTCCCTAATTCGGTTTTACAACTGAGCACCTACTCTATCCCTGTCTCTGTGCCCTCGCCTTTGGGGAGGATGGAGGTGTTTACAGCAGCCAGTGTATAACTGAGCCCTAGCTGAGAATACAACCAGCTGTATTTCCATGACCCTGGTGGCCAGAGAAAGGCTTCACTCACAAAGTTGCCCACACTGCAGGGTTTGAATCTTGCCTCTCAATTTACTTGCCGTGCTATGTGACCTTGGCTGAGTTACTTAACCTCTCCTCATCTGAAAATAATGTTAGCCACAATTATTGTTGTTGTTGTCTTTACCATTATCTTTTTCATTATGATACTCCCTTGTAGCTTTATTCTTCACCTGGGAGAGACACATGTGGAAAGTTAGAGACCTCAGGTCCCTATTCCACTCACCTTTATTGTGAGACCTAGTTTCTGCCTTCACCTTAGGACTCAATTCAGGCCCAAGAAAAGCAGTGTCCTACACCCAGGAACCACCCCCAACCAGCGTATTACCCACCAGACCACAGCTTCACAGCCAGCATGCAGCTGTGGCTTCCTAAGGAGGTATCCAAAGCTGAGGGGACATTGGAGAGGCCTAAAAGGAGCCTGATCCCACACATTGTCCTTCCCGGTGATGACATCCTCTATGGCCCTGACCCTCAGCCTCAGAGCCTTGCCCGCTCCCACCACCATCCCTCAACCATCCTCCAGGCCTATCTGTGGTGCTGCTTAGTCCCCAGTCACCCCTCCTCCAGAACCACTCTGGGCCCTTTCTGTCCGAATGCAGGGATATTTCAGGAAGACCAAAGGTCACAGAAGGGAGAGGTAAGGATCTTGGGGACCTGAAAACCACCAACATGGTGATAGCAATGTTTTTAGTCCCTTTTGATGCCCCCTTGAATCTCACACTAATAAATATGCCAGTCTTCACAGAAAAATCCATTTCTCTCCCCCCCCCCACCCTCTATCACACACACCCCTTAGGAAGAGCTATTTTCCTTGTTAAACTAATTCATAAGAGTAATTAGAAGTATAAAATATACTCAGAAGTAACTGATAGGTTCATACGTGCTTCCAAAAGCCAAAACTGGCTACACCGATTAAGAGAAGTGGAAGGGGGCTGGCCCCGTGGCCAAGTGCTTAGGTTCCCACACTCCACTTCAGCGGCCCAGGGTTTCACCAGTTCGTATCCTGGGCGTAGACAAGGCACCACTCATCAAGCCATGCTGAGGCGGCGTCCCACATGCCACAACCAGAAGGACCTACAACTAGAATATACAACTATGTACTGGGGGGCTTTGGGGAGAAGAAGGAAAAAAAGAAGATTGGCAGCAGATGTTAGCTCAGGTACCAACCTTTAAGAAAAAAAAGAGAGAAGAGGAAGGTCTCTCAAAACCATTCCCCACTAACAGGATCCAGGGCTCCTTGGAGAAATGGAGGTTTCTAGGTCTGGGGCAAAGAATGTACAAGATGAGCCTGGAACATCTTACAGTTCCTGAAAGCCCGAAAGATAACACGGACCGGGTTGATGTCAAAAGATCTCAGAAACCAACTTGAAGAGGCTCCCACTGGCAAAGGTGAAACAATCTGAGCATCAAAAAGAAAAATAATGTTACTTGACCAAAACAGGATGTATACAAAAATCCACAAGTTCTTAGTGTTGTTAAAAAAGAAAACCCCCAGAAAAAAAACTTATTTGTCCCCATCCAAACAGTCCTGTTGATGAGAGAAGGCTCTTTTTTTTAACAGAAAAGTGTTGGCTAATCAATGTAGAAGGAATGATATCTTAAGAAATACTGCCATTTTACAGTGTCTAATTAGATAATTGATTTGGACAAGGATGCCAACACCACTAAGTGCAAGGTTAATGGGGAACTGGATATTCACATAACACTAAAGGATCATTGTTACTTACAAGTCACAGGAGAGAAAGTAACTACAGTGGTCACCAGCCTAACACTGGGTTCAATCTTAAAACCACTAATAATGAGAAAAGCAGACACGAAGGACCACCCAATGTGATGCAGTATGACACACACACCACTACCCATGAGGAATTCTTGTCAAAACTACTCAGCCTTAATCTATTCAACCCATTAGATTTGGCTTCCACTTTATAGAAAATACAGGGATTAGAGGGATAAGTAAGTGACATCATGAGAAAACAATAAAATAAATCCAGAAGGTGGGACATTCTACAGGGCAATTGAGCCAATCTTTTTAACTCACGAAAAGGAAAGGTGAGGGGAGCACTGTTTCACATCAAAAGAAACTTAAGAAATAACATCCACAGGCAGTATGTGGACTTTGAATTCTGGTATGAACAAATCAAAATATTTGGGGAACGAATAGAGAAAGTGATTAATTTTGTTAAGTATGATAATGAAAGTGTAGTTCAGTATGAAAATGTCCTTACTTTTTAGAGTTCCTTCTGAAGCATTTGGGGTAAAATGCCATGATGTCTGTATTTTACTTTAAAATACTTCAACAAACAGCAGTTAAGTAAATATGGCAGAAAAATAATAATTATCAAATCTATGTGACAGATATGTGGGTGGCATTATACTACTATACGTTTCTGAAGGTTTGAAAATTTTCATACTAAAAAGAAAAAAATTAAAGACAGGAGCTAGAGGAAGAGCAGAGGTAAGGACATCACTCACCATAGTTACCTTATCCTGAAGGGCCCAGGCACTTCCTGTCCCATTTCACTCTGTCATTTATTCAACCAACATTTACTAAGAGCCTATTTTAGCAGGGCAAACAAGACTTTTAAAGTTACTTGAAGAAGTCACAAGTGAAATTAAAGGTTACATGAGCCCTCATGGGCGCTCGGATCAATGCATACCCTCAGCATTCCAATGCGACACACCTTTTGCACCTGCTCCCAGGCAGGGAACAAGGAGCAGTGCAAAGCTCCTCGCTCAGACACTGAGCTAGCCTTCTCCAGCCACTCTGCCTGATCACCGTCGCCATCCGCCTGCCTGGACGTTCTACACAGATAGACACAGAGCAGACCTAGTGCTGAGAGCTTCGGGAGGCCAGCCCTCATGCCCAAGAAAGGTCATCCATCTGTCATAACCAGGGTTGTCATGTTAGCTCAGAGTGTTTAGGATACTAGAACTGGACTAGCCTCATGGATCACCGAATATTATTCCCACCACATTATTTTAGAGATGAAAAGGCTGAAGCTCAGGAAGGTAAAGCGACAGATTCACAGCTCTGTAGCAAAAAAGCCTGGACTGGGACCCAGGCCTTCTGACCTCGGCCTGAGTTCTATCCTTTACACCACACAGCCTCCTGCCTCACTTGCACTCTGAACTTCCAGGGCCCCGGGGTGCCGACTCCATGGAGGCAGTCTGATGGTGTAGCACAAGGCCAAACTCATATAGAAAAGCTCCAGTGCAGAGAGAAACAGAGTGGCTCCCGGTGGCAGCCTCTTGGAAAATGAGTCATCCTTCTCTGATAGAACCAGGAATCTGTTTCCCAGGGCTGGTGTACGCAGGGCCGTGCAGAGAGTAAGCTGACCCAGCAGAGGATATTTAAGTCATACATTCGCTCCAAACTCATATTTCAGATTCCCCCTCCCACAATCAGAACTTACACTTTCTCATAGTGTTTCTGTCTCTCAGTTCTAATTTTGAATCTGAGCTTATAGAGCTCAGATCAGTTCTATGCTCCTGGGACCGTGTAAGGGGAAGGGGGTCTCCTGGGTGCTGCTGGAGCCCCTCTGCCAAGCAGTCCAGGGGGTGAAGATGAGGGAGATGGAGAGATCTAACAGAGGAGTTCCTCTTCTCAAGAAAAGTATGACACTCACTCACACAGACCTAGTGCTGGGCCAGCCACAAAGGGTACCTCCTCTGTTCATTCCTACAGTAAATACTGACTGTGTTACTACATGCAAGAAGGCACTGAAAGGTACTGGGCTAACTCCTCTTCAATCTTCAGGTCTCTCATTAAATGTCACTTTGTACAGGAAGTCTGGATCCAGCACAACCAGCATAGACCCTACTGTGTGCTCCCACATTATGGTCACATTCTATTTTCTGACTTTCCTAGGAGAGACAGTAAGTCCTGTTCTGGGCAAGGAAGCCTTGTTTCTTCACTGAACCCCAGCATCGGGCACGGAGCTGGAATGCAGCAGGTTCCCAGTCAACACGGGGGAACGGGAAGGAAAACCCTGCCCTGAGAGGCTACGATCTACTTAACAAGGAGAGTGGCCAGTGCCTAAGAGGCAACAGGAGTTCAAAGGAGAAGAAACAACTCCTGGCTTGGTTTCCTGAAGGAGGAACATTTGCGGAGACCTTGAGAAACGCAGACATGCCAACACAGTCTTTTCAGTTGGGTTTAGAAGCAGTGTGAAGAAGAGGCAGGAAAATTCAGGGCAGGTCCCACAAACTGCTCAGTGTGTCTGAAGCGTGGGCTCATGAAGGGCAGAGCAGATGAGACAACCATGCCACCCACAACCATCATGCGTGGGGAAGGGATCCTGGGTTTTGCAGAACATCAAAAAAAGAAATTCTAGAACTTTACAGCCCTTTTATAATTCCACTGCAAGAAACCTTTCCTTATGTCAATCTTACATTATTTCTATTTTAATATTAGTCTTTCCCTGTTGCTTTGCTCTCAGAGGACTAAGATCCCCTAATCACGATCCTCTGTAAAAGGAGGCTTTGCAGCTTTAAAAAATCATTCTGAAGTATCGTAAAACTGTATATTATATAAGAAAGGAAGTTTCTTCACAGACCAACAGTGTATGCTATGTGAAAACCTGAGACCAGTCCCCTGATCACCTTTGTGGTCAGATGCTACACAGTTGCTTTCTCATTACACCAAATTATTTCTAGTTTTCAGGCTGGGATAATAAATCACGTAAATTTTAGGATCTAGGGCAGAGATGGTAACTATAAAGTAGATCCACAGCGTTACAGAGGGATAATTAAAGTGAGAACAAATGTGATTCATGAAAGACTGAATTATCTCTGCTCAAAACCCTTCAATTAGCGCATATTTGGAACCACTCCCAACAAAGAATAGATAGCAAGCCAGAGACAGCAACAACAAAGAGTCCACCTAAATTCACAGGAGTGAGTGCAGGGGGCTCAGGAGGGGCTCCGATTATCAGCACTACAGTTAGGGCAGCAAGCGAGGGGCCGTGACGCCCACTTTAGGAATGGGGGGGTTTGGTGGGGAGACTCCCAGCATAAGAGACCCTTTGATGTCAAAAGGCCTTGAGCCTTAGCTGACATTAGGGGCAAGGGCAAGAGATAGTTAAGGAGTTTGAATCTGATGCCCAGTGCCCACTCCACTTTCCCATTCTCTTCCACAGCTCATTATCTGGGAGAACTTCTAACAGGAAGACACCAACAGGGGAAATAACCACAAGGGCCACAGACAGTAAAGGAATAGTTGGTCTACTTCTGCTCCTCCAAGAGCGCCACCTTCTCCCGCCCACCCCCATCACTGGCCCTGTATTCACCAGCTATTTTCTCCGCAAAAATTATTTTTAAGGTCACTCAGGAGTCCCCTCAGAAAGGACACTCAGCAACAGCACTGACCCTCTAGCTCTGCCGGGGGCTGACCTGAGCCTGGAAGCTTCCTATGAAAACTTACCAGTTCCTTCTCATTTGCCCAGTACCTTTGCCCCAGCCACGGCTGGGGGGCGGTGGGTCTGCTCATCAGGGCTCCTCTGCTGCTCAGAGGCATGTACTCAATGACTTCTTGGGGAACTCACACTTAGTGATGGGAAGGGAGGATGCAGCAGTGACCTGCAGCCCCTTGGGTGCCCCAAGCAGAGCTCTGAGGTCAGAAATTAAGTATGAACCCTGCAGAGCTCAGCCACGCCTTCCTACAAACAGCAGTTTGCAGAGGACCACAGACATAGAAACAGTGTCCATCTCGCCCCCAGAACACTCTCCCCTAGTCTCTAGCTGCCCATTTTTGCGGAGAGGCAGGCTCTTTGTTGCCATTTGATGCCTATTCCCATCTGAACTCATCTGGTGCTCCCCAGTCCAGAAGAAACGCAGTTAAGGAGGCTATGTGAGAGGCTCTCACCTCCTCCTAAACCACAGAAACGTTCTCTAGCCCTGCTGTCACTGATATGAGCTTGGCTTGAGCACCTGGCCGGGATTCTCCAGACCACTTCCCAAAAAAGGTGTCACAGTCTCAGTTCCCAGGAGGACTGCTTACTGGAGGGACACTGGGAGCAGATGGGAATGCTCAGTTATAGGATTAGGTGTAAATTTCTTATCTAGAACCTACAGAAATGCTGAATCAAATTCTCGTTAACACAGCAGCAGCCTCTCCCCAACCCCCACAAGGAAAGGAGAGCATGGGGGTGGCTGCTTAACACTTGACCTGTGGGAGGAAGGAAAGTCTTTTCTGTGAGGGTGGGATTCCTTGGGTCTAGGTTTATAGATGTGCCATTCTAGCCTTTCAGCAATGTGTCAAGGGATTTTCAAAAAGAGGTGCTCTGAGTGGGGGATGTTCAATAAAAAAATGTTTCCCATCAGGACACACTGCCTGTGAAAGTCAATGTCCTAAATAGAACCTGCCATACAAAATTCAGTGTTTCAAAATAAATAAGATACCTTTTTCCAAAATATTCAAGTATAGGTTTTCAATTAAACATCCAAATTCTTTAGCACATTTAAAATAAGGTTTTACTGTTTAAACTTTGATTTACCAGGTATTTTCAGAAACCTGCCTACTGAAGACACACCAAAGTTCGCTTAGAGGGCAAACTGTGAGCCTTGGCTCCCCTGTAAGCTTCCTTCAGGCTCCACTCTGAGAGTCACCATGGCATTCGAGTGAAAATTAAAACATGCAAGAGAAAGTACTTTGAAAATTATAAAGCACTAGCTATATGCTAGACATTATAAATATTAAATACCAGGTCTTGAGTCTGCTGCTTAGGATTTGCTTCAAAATAACGGGGAGAGAGGGAAAGGAGAATAAATGAAGCAAGACTCACCTAATTAGATAATTGTTGAAATCAGATGATGCATATATCATTATACCATTCTGTCTCCTTTCGTATATGTTTGAAATTCTTCATAATAAAAAGTTTAAAACCGTAAAACTAGGTAGAGCTTTGGAAATTTGAACTATAACCTCTCTTCACTTTGTAGATGAGAAAAAGCAGTCCAGAGAGGTTAAGTGACCTTCTCCAAGTCACCGGCTAGCTGCAGAGCCAGGAGCCAAAATTCTTAACTCCCAGCTCTGGGCGTGTTCTCCCCCACACCAGCGACCTCAGGCAGGAGTGGATTCCTCTGGCCATTCTCCCCACTATTCCTCAGGTTCTTCAAGCTCCCAGGTATGTCTAAAAGCATGCTCAGGAGAGGGAGAGTGCTGGACAGACCTGGAGCTAGAACCAGCAGAGCTGGGGCTAGAGCCAGAAAGCCCTGGGCACTTTCCAAAATGAGCAGAGGCCGGGGAGGAGGGAGGGTTCTCGCCTGGCCTGCTGGGTCACTGACACCTGCAGCAGGAGTGCCCAGAGAACTGACCTTGGCCTGCCAGACATGCTTCTCCCACTCCCCTTCCCCCACCCACCTTTTCATCCCACCTCCCTGCTGCCAAAATGCCAGGCAAGGTCTCTGGGTTTCCAGGAGTACAGAGAAGTGGACTGGAGGCGAATTTTACAGACCCCCAGATGTGGAGGGTAAAGGGGGCTCTAGAGGGTGGAACAGGGGAGTTTGGAGAGGCCCTTTCCAGCAAGTAAGATCCGCATCTGCGAAAGGAGACAGAGGCCTGAGAGGGGAAAGGAGCCGCTGCAGAGCCCCTGAGGCAGGCAGGAAACAAAATGAGAAGTCTGAGGCCTCCTGCCTTTCAGGAGGGAGAGTTCTGTGTGCCAAAGTCCTTCTGACTTCGACCGCTGGACACTGGGGAGTTGGCGTGAGTGTCAGGTGCCTGGGAAGCTGGGCGCCCTCAAGCTGTAAGAGCCCCAAACTCAAGCAGATGGCCTGGACAAGCAAGGAGGACGACCCCAGGCCTGGGGGATTGAGATGCCCTGAGTCCCCTCTCCCATTTGGCTGGGCTTGGGGACCTGACTGCGCCCACATACCCAGCTGCCCATGCCCAGCCCAACCATCTGGAATCCCTGGAGTGCACCCTTTTCTCCCCACCTGGTCCTTGAGCCGCCTGCCTGTCCAGGGATCCCTCAGAATCTCACCCCTTCTTCACCTGGTTCCCCATGTCCTCCCTTCTCTCACCCGCTTGCGCAAATCGCCCTTAGGTCCCTTTGAGAGGCAACTCACCCCAGGTCTCTACTTTCCCTCTACAGAAAAGGGTAATGGCACCAGGTGTCCTCTGCCCGAGGGTACGGACCCCCTCAACCCTGAATGGACACCGCCCCCGGGGAGACTTCGATCCGTTAGCCCGCGAAGACGCGGCTCTCCACTCGGCTCGGCGCCTGCCCCGCGCCCCGGGTCCCCGGGCCCCTGCACCCGGCCTCTGCCCCAGCCCCAGAAAGCTCACCATCGCGGCCGCTCTCCTCGCCGGCTCGCCTCCTCGCTGGGCCTGCCCACCCCAACTGCTCCAGATACGGCCGCCTCCGCTGTTGTGACACACTGGGCGGGAGGGGGACGGGGAGAGACATGCTGGGCCAGCAGCTGCCCTGCAGCATCACAGTGCCCGGGGAGGGGAGGGACCCGGCGGGTCACAATTGCTCCTCCCGCCCCCACCGGCGGCTCAAATCTCCGGCACCCGCCGGCCCTGCCCGGCCTGCTCCGTCCAGCCTCTCCATCGCAATTCGCAGCGGGCTCCTCGCCGCCGCACCCTGGGGCAGTCTTTTTACCACAGCGTCTCCTGCCCTCTGTGAGATCGGCCATTGTAATTCCAGCTGCTTAGGAAAGAAATGTGTTAATGTTGTTAGACAAAATGTTCATTGCTCCCCAGACTTTCATTCTCTCCCTGCTGTCAAACACTAGCGCCGCCGGGAAGGACTGGCCCAGGCAGGAAAGGCACCTGGTGAATATTCGTTGACTGCAGTCACCCTCAGCCCAGGAGAGTGCGGAGATAGCGCCGGGCTCGCTGGAGGAGGAACAGGTTCCAGGCTCAGCTCGCGTGAGCAAGTTGTTGAGCCGCTGCTCTGGAAGCCTGTTTCTACCTCCATCAAGGCCTACCCGGTCCTTGGAGAATCAAATGAGCTAAGGTACATAAAGCTCCCGGCACACAGCAGGTGCTCCATACTTCCCCTGTTCCCGTTTCAGCTACTCTGTCGGTGTGCACCACCTCTCCACCGTTATTTTCAAATCTCTTTCCTGATCCACTTATCACACTCCCCTCTTCCTACGTTTAAGCCCAAAACGTACAGGATGATATCAGAGTTCTCGCTGCCTCTTTGGCCAGTAATAGGACCTCCTCTTGGTGGCCACAAACGATGCTGAAGAGCAAGGGATTTCCCCTACTCTCCCTCTAGTTGGAGAGGAGTAGGGGGAACTGGGTCCGACTTCACACTTTAGATTTTGGCCACTTTATTAAATCTTCCTCCACATTCCTGTCCCCTCCCCCCAGTTTAGTGGTGGGCTGGATGATTATGGTCTTTTGGACTCACTGCAAAATTCCCCACCAGGGCCAACCCATGTTGAAACCGGTAACCCTGCTTCCACCTTCTCTCACACTTCGTCAGGCACCTGACCACCAACCAAGTCACTCCAGGGAAATTCATGGCTTTTCTGCAAGACACTGCCACACAGAGCTGCTCCGACCAGACGTGGTGACTCCAAGTTTTCAGGCCACAGACACAGATCTACCTTCTCTTCTGTTCCTAAGAGATGCCTATCTCTGGCCAGTAGAGAATGAGAACACTTTTTTCTTTATTTATGTAGCAATTTGTTCTGCTGACTACCCATTTGTATATTTTTTTATTTATACTATGAGTTTCCAGAAGACAGGGCACATCTTAATCATCTTTGCATCTGAGAGAGTACCAAACACAAACACAGCGCTTTACCCATTGATACCCAGAGTACTTAGTAAATTATGAGTTGAATTTTTGTCTTTCTTATAATGTAAGATCCCGAAAATTGAGAATCATGATTAAGCTAACTGCCAAGCAAATGGTAAATGCTCAATAAGGGATGATGACTATTATTAACTACATATTTCTCTCTCTTCCAGACTCCCATAGCACATTCTATTACTTCTTCCATTACATTTATCACTTTCTGTTTTGGGGTGGATTCTAGATATGTGGGAGTGTGCGAGTGTTCCTCCAAAACTGGAACACCTTGAAGGCTAGTGTTGTGTTATTCATCTTAGTGACCTCTCTATCAAAAGTAGCTAGTTGAGTGCATCAAAGACACTCAATAAACATTGCTTAATAAACTGATTTTTCAAGTTCTCTTTATGAACCAGCAAATACATTATGAACAGGTTCTTAATGTCTCGGGATAAAAATGATGACAATGCTGGTGATTATGATTGTATTCGATTGCCTATCCTTATGATAATGCCCTTTGAACTTCATCATCTTTCCCTTTATGGGGTTTAGGGCTGTAGGGAGCCATGGCTACAACATAGATGTGGGATATAGTATCTTTGGGTTCCAAAAAAATTCATATGGTGAAGCCCTAAACCTCTGTGTGACTGTATTTGAAGACAGGCCTTTAGGAGGTAATTAAGGTTAAATGAGGTCATAAGAGTGGGGCCCTGCTCCAGTAGGACTGATGTCCTTATGAGAGCCCAGGAGTGCACATGCACAGAGGACGGCCACATGAGGACACAGAGAGAAGGTGGTTGTCTACAAGCCACGGATAGAGGCCTCACCGGACACAGACCCCGCTGGGCCTATCTTGGACTCCCAGCCAGCAGAGCTGTAAGAAAATTACCTTCTGTGGTTTAAACTCCCCAGTGTGCAGTATTTTGTTATGGAGCAGACTAAGACAGTGGCCTTAAGAGTCTTTGGAATAAAAAAATGTTTACTTCTTTTCAGTTTTTAAGTCCTCCGTCTTACAATTATTTGACTTGTGGCAACCCAGATCTCATTGATACTTCTTCTCTCCCTGAGAAGTTTGGAAAGAAGGAAGGACGCGTTTTTGTAGTCCCTGTGATGGTAAATTTTTTTTTTTTTTTTTTCCTTTTTCTCCCCAAAGCCCCCCGGTACATAGTTGTGTATTCTTTGTTGTGGGTTCTTCTAGTTGTGGCATGTGGGACGCTGCCTCAGCGTGGTCTGATGAGCAGTGCCATGTCCGCGCCCAGGATTCGAACTGACGAAACACTGGGCCGCCTGCAGCGGAGCGCGCGAACTTAACCACTCGGCCACGGGGCCAGCCCCTGTGATGGTAAATTTTATGTGTCAACTTTCTTGGGCCACAGGATGCCCAGACATTTGGTCAATCATTATTCTGGATGTGTCTGTGAGGGTGTTTCTGAATGAGAGTAACATTTGAATCGACAGATTTGAGTCGAGTAGATTGGCCCCCTAAGGTGGGTGGGCCTCATCCAATCAACAGAAGACTTGAATAGAGCAAAAAGGCCAGTCAGAGGGAAGGCTGCCTCCCTGCCTGCTTCAGCTGGGACGTCGGTCTTCTCCTGACCTCAGACTGGAACCTACACCCTCAGGTCTCCTGGGTCTCCAACTTGCTGACTGCAGATCTCGGACTTCTCAGCCTCCATCATCACATGAGCCAGTTCCTTCTCTCTCCCTCTCCCTATAGAGATACAGATATAGATATAGATATAGATATAGATATCGATATAAACAGGATATATCTCCTCTTGGTTCTATTTCTCTGGAGAACCCTGACAAATACAGTTCCCTTTTTGCAGGTGGTAAAACTGAAGTCAAATCCAGGCTATTTATGAGAAAGCAATCACACACGGTGTGATTTAGGCCTTGTAAAGAAATAACTCCACCTCCTCTACATTCCAGGTACTATGTGTGAGTGTATTTCTTCTTGCATGAGTTTTTGTGCTATGGGGTCATATTCTCCAATACACTAATTATAAAAAGTTGAACCACACCCATTTGCATAGGGGGTAATTTCTATCAATCACCCAGGAGAAGAGTTGGTCTTCATGATATTTATATACCTGTTATTTATACAATATGCCAACACTGAACACTTTCTAGGTGCCAAACACTGTGCTAAGGGCTTACCTCTTTTACTCCTCACAACAAACCTCTGAAATTAAAATTTCTATTATCTCCATTTTACAGATGAAGCATTTGAGATTTAGAAATGTTAACTCTTGTTCCTGATTACACAACTGGTAAGAGATGGACCTGGGGTTTGCACTCAGGGAGTCTGACCCCAGAAGCTGAGCTCAGATGTTTCATCATTACCTGTAAACTGGAACTGGAAAGGCAAACCTGAGACACAGAGGGCTTGTCTTCATTCTCTTAGCTTAGACTTTGAGACTCCACATTCCTAGGCTGCTGCTCCAGTGGATAGGCGTTAAAGATGGAGTTTACGATGTGGAGGGAGACCGTGAGCCCAAAGGAAAAGACGCATGAAACATGTTAATTTCCAAGCACCCACACTGCTGAGGGGAGCCTGTGAGTTTGAGAGAGCAGACTACATTTGATAATCGGATTATCTAGATGTAGGTATTTGCTGTATTTATTTTACTTTGGTTACCCCTAGTTTTAAGTACACTCATATTTAAATATTAATATTCCAAGCTTGTTTCTCATATGCTACAGGGGACTAAGAGAAAGAAAAGGTGGGCATCTTTGGCCACAGTAATCACAGATAAAGTGGTTCCCCTTTTAAGGCTGCGTGCTTGCAGCAGCCATGATCAAGAGACCACCAAAGAAAAGGTGATCTTGGGACAAATTTGGAGCCACATAATCCAGCCGGCCCTTCTTCCAGGCAGGTCTCCTTCCAAAATCAACCTTGGAGAGACTGGGTTGTTTTGTCTTACATTGGGGAAGGCAATATTTTCCTACTGGCCCCGATTCTTCCCTCCACTCACTCCTCCCAACGGGTTGATGTCAGAAATGGCACCTTTCAGAGCATTGTCTTCATAGCTTCAGCTTTTGATCCTTGTTAAACTCACCTCCCCTTTAGGCTAACATTAGTCAGTAACATAGAACTCAGCAGAAAGATGAGGCAATGAGAACGTGAGGCAGTGAGTGATTAGGTTGGGGGTCAAGGACAGAGTAGCAAAGTGCAGAGAAGGCTGAGGTTGGGGAACTAAGAAAAAACTCTTCTTCATAAATTGGTCAAGCTGATCAGAGGCCAGCACTGAAGCCCTTAACCTCACTGCCTCTAAGGCTCTGTTACAGATGGAATAACCACCTGCTTCAGCTGCCAGATCGTCTGGGATAAAGTGGCTCCAGAGGAAAGAAAGCAGGTGGGTCATTATCTTCTTCTCCCTGAGGCCTTGGTATTCTATATAGGGTTAATTCTTCACTTGGATATTTCCCTCCTGTCAGACACTGAAACAATTGGTTGAATTGTCTTTTTTTTCTCAGTTATTTCACATATTGCTATGGCAATTGCAAAGTGATCCAGTCTTTCTGGACGACCCCCTGGCAGTACGTTAAACGAGCTAGAAAACTCTTCTCACCATTTATGTTGCAAATACACTTTGGAAAACTATCCCAAGAAAACAACACACAAGGAAAATAACAGTGCTGTTTTACAGCATTTTCATATGCAATCTGTTAGAGCTGTTATTCATATTAGCAAAAAGCTGGAAAAAAATGAAATGGCTGACAAATACTGCACAGGGAGTCAGCGGTTGAATTGTGGCCCCCAGAAGATATGTCCACTTGGAACCTCAGACCGTCACCTTATTTGGAATAAGGGTCTTTGCAGATGTAATTAAGGATCTCAAGATGAGGTCATCCTGGATTAGGGTAGGTCCTAAATTCGATGACAAGTGCCCTCATAAGAGACAGACAAGGAGAAGACGTAAAAACACAGAAGAAGGCCAAGTGAAGATGGAGACAGAGATTGGAGTTATGCTGCCACAAGCCAAGGACCCTCAGAGCCACCAGAGGCTGGAAGACCACAGGAAGGATTCTCCCCAGAGCCTTCAGAGAGACACCTGGATTTTGGACTCCTGGGCTCCAGAACTGTGAGAGAAGAAATTTCTGTTGTTTTAAGCCCCATAGTTTGTGGCAATTTCTTACAGCTGCCATAGGAAACACAGACATATAGTGAGGAAGCAGATGATGGTGGAAACTGAATAGATGATGATATTAAATGAAGAAAACTGCAGAACTCAAAGTAACAGAGATGTATTTATAATAAAAAATCAATGTATATCGAACAGAAAATATAGATAATTTTATTTTCATGGGTTTTTTTTTAACAGGGTTGTTGGAATGAACAGAAAGCATTTCATGTCCTATAGAGATGAAACCATAAAACTCCTAGTAGAAAATACAGGCAGTACACTTTTTGACATTGGTCTTAGCAGCATCTTTTCGAATACCATGTCTACTCAAAATTAACAAATAAGACTTTGTCAGACTAAAAAGCTTCTGCAAGGCAAAGGAAACCAGGAACAAAAAAAAAAGACAAGCCACCAGCTGGGAGAAAATATTTGCGAATCATATATCTGACAAGGGGTTAATTTCCAAAATACATAAAGAACTCACACAACTCAACAACAAAAAAACTAGCCACCCAATCAAAAGAAGTGGGCAGAGGAACTGAACATTTTTCCAAAGAAGATATACAGATGGCCAATAGGCACATGAAAAGATGTTCAACATCACTAATCATCAGAGAAAATGCAAATCAAAACTACACTAAGATATCACCTTACCCCCATTAGAATGGCTATAATCACCAAGACTAAAAATAACAAATGTTGGAGAGGATGTGGAGAAAAGAAAACCCTCATACACTGCTGGTGGGAATGCAAACTGGTGCAGCCACTATGGGAAACAGTATGGAACTTTCTCAAAAAACTAAAAATAGAAATAGCATATGACCCAGCTAACCCAATGCTGGGTATTTATCCAAAGAACATGAAATCAACAATTCAAAGTGACTTATGCACCCCTGTGTTCATTGCAGCATTATTCACAATAGCCAAGACGTGGAAGCAACCCAAGTGCCCATCAACCGATGATTGGATAAAGAAGATGCGGTGTATATATATACAATGGAATAGTACTCAGCCATAAAAAAGACAAAATCATCCCATTCACAACAACATGGATGGACCTGGAGGGTATTATGTTAAGCAAAATAAGCCAGACAGACAAACACCGTGTGGTTTTACTCATATATGGAAGATAAACAAACACACGGACAAAGAGAACAGTTCAGTAGTTACCAGGGGAAGGGGGCTGGGGAGGGCAGAGCAGGTGAAGGGGAGCACCTATATGGTGATGGACAAATAATAATCTACAACTGAAACCTCGCAATGTTGTAAACTATTATGAACTCAATTTTTTAAAAAGTAAAAAAAAAGAGAGAAAGAGAAAAGGTGCAGGGTTTATACCCTGTGAGCCTCTCATATAATGGAATACCACATAGCTAACAAGAACGAGGCAGCTCTACATGAGCTGATGAGGAATAAACATTCAAGATTAAGCACAGTTTTTAAAATGTGTGGCACAGGGGCCAACCTGGTGGCGCAGCAGTTAAGTTCACACGTTCCACTTCGGCAGCTTGGGGTTCGCCAGTTCAGATCCCGGGTGCAATCTATGCACTGCTTGTCAAGCCATGCTGTGGCAGTGTCCCGCTTATAAAGTAGAGGAAGATGGGCACAGATGTTAGCTCAGAGCCTGTCTTCCTCAGAAGAGGAGGACTGGTGGCAGATGTTAGCTCAGGACTAATCTTCCTCAAAAAAAAAAGTGTGGCAGTGTGGTATGCCATCATTTGTGTAAGAGAAAGCTTGCTACCAGAGATTAGCTCTGGAAGGATAGACAGACTGGCCCCGGTGTGGACTCTGGGCAGGAAACTGGGAGATGTCAACAGGGTAGAAAAAAGACTTTCTTTTCCATGACTTCCCTCTTACAACTTTTGAATTTTGGACCATTTATATAAAACGCAAATATATTTTTAAAATAGTCTGCATACAGACACATGCAAACAGCTGCACAAAGCTATGAAATAATTCCTCAGTCCCTTCAAACTCCCCTTCTGGAGGCGGAATCCAACATCCTCCTCTGGCACCATCTGTTCTGCAGCCACCCACCTCCATCCCTATGATGACCCACAGTAGCCTAATTTCTCCTCTCCACCTCACCTCATCCTTCCCGGCCTCCCATCTGACCACCAAACGGAGGAGTATTACCCATTCTTGCTCTCCTCAGCACCCCAAAATTTTAAACATCTGTCCTATGTCGTATTCTCTCACAACCCTGTAGAACTAATCAACCCCAACTGAAGTTACCACTCCCAGACACACTTGCATTTTAACAGTGAACTTCAAGAGTGACTGATTTTAGGGCAAGTGAGGCAGAATCCTGGGGAAGTGAAAGGAACTCTAGACTTGAGGGTCAGGAGACCTTGGTCTTATTCAGGCTTTGTGACGGGGCAAATCTCTTCACCCCTCTGGGTCTCAATTTCCTCAACTGAAAGAGAAGGGGGCTATAATAGATGATCGTTCCAGATCTACCATCCCCAAATTCCACCATACAATGCTGCTTCTCTGAGTCCCATCCCCTCTGAACCTGATGTGTACTGGGTGTGTTCACTAGTGCTGTCCGACAGAAATATAATGCGAGCCACATATGTAATTTTAAACATTCTAGTAGCCCCACAAAAAAGAAGTAAAAAGAAACAAGTGAAATTATTTTTAATAGATTTTATTTAACCCAATCTATCTAAAATATTATCATTTCAACATGCAATCAATATAAAAATCATTGTTTCCATTCTTTTTTCAGTACTAAGTCTTCAAGATCCAGTGTATATTTTACATTTACAGAACATCTTGATCTGGACCAGTTCCACTTCAAGTGCTCGAAAGCCATCTGTGGCTAACGGCTAGCGTACTAGACAGCGCAGGTGGACATCTAACAAGGAAGCCCTCTTTTTGCTTCTGACCCTGTTAAGCCCAGAGTTGAAGACGGATATGAGCACCAACCTGCATCCTCAGAAAAGGTCGTCATCGGAGCAGTTTTGGCTCTGAGGTCCTTGTCTGACTCGGAAGACAACACTGGAGAGTTCAAGACAAACATAAAACAGAGGACTGAGAGGCCTATAAGCAGAACAGTACTGGAGAACTTCAGGAGAGAACAGAAAAGTGAGCTGGGCACAGTCAGGTCTTCTGTATACTCAGGGTTTCACAATACAAAACCCACAGGCTCACCAAAAGCAGAGACCTCTTGTCATGCCAATCATATCAACTCACTCATTTAAACACCTCTAAACACCTTCTAACCTCCAGGCACTCAGCTGGGCAATGGGGAGACAGCTACCCTTCACGGGAGTTCTTACTTGGGACAGGATAACATGCTAAGCACTCCATAAGCAGGATCTCATTTACTCATCCAAAAGTCCCTATGAGAAAAGAACTATACTGCAGATGAGAACACTGAGACCAAAAGGTGAAGTCACTTTCCAGCAGTCCCACGCCTTGTGAGAGGTGGGCGGGGATCCAGACCCAACTCAAACACTGCAACACGCCACAGTCCCCAGCTTCAAGGAGCTCACAGTTACTGGAGGCAGCAAGGAACTTCACAATTATAAGGCCACTGGGTCACTACCACAGAAGGGATATGAAATAGGGCCTAGAAGCAGGGGACATGGGGAAAGGATTCCCAGGAGTAACCCTTGAGTAAGTCTGGAAGGTCGAGGAACTCATCAGGCAAGGAGGAAGGCTGGACCTTCCAAAAGGAACAGCAAGTACAAAAGGCACGGAAATGTGAGAGAACGCGCAGTGTTCAGAACCTATGACTGGCTGAGCAGCCGGAGGGCAGCATGCATAAGGAACAGAGGCCTCACATGAAAGTGGAAGTGTCAGCCCAAACCAGTGCCTAACGGGCCTTAAACTCCATGAAGAAGAATCTGGGTTTTGGAGCCAGCCCCATGGCCAAGTGGCTAAGTTCACAGGCTCCACTTCAGCGGCCCAGGGTTCACCAGTTCGGATCCTAGGCATAGACCTAGCATCGCTCATCAAGCCACACTGTGGCACTGTCCCACACAGAAGAACTAGGATGACCTGCAACTAGGATATACAACTATGTACTGGGGCTTTGGGGAGGAAAAAAAAGAGGGAGATTGGCTACAGATGTTAACTTGGGGCCAATCTTCCTCACCAAAAGAGCATAAAAAAAAAATTCTAACTCTCAGCTCTTTCCCTAAAAAAAAAAAAAAAAAAAAGGGATCTGGGTTTTATCCTATAGGCCATGGGAATTCGTTAAAGAGTTTTATCTAGCGTAGTGAACAGGACCAGATTTTCATTTTAAAAAATCTTTCTAAAGGAGAGATCTCAAAGCTCACCCATCTCCCTTCCTCTCCCCAAGGTTCTTAACTCTATTTAAAAGCCTATATGTAAAAGCATAGATTTGTTTTCTACAGAGTTGGACCACAGCTTAGGGACTTAATCTCCACGGGCCTGTGAAGTTCACTTACTCTATCCCTTTTACTAAAGAGAAGCTGTTGACTTGCAACTGCTAAAAATCAGCCTATGAAAAGCTAATAAGCACCTCCCATATTCTTGACCTCAACACTGACAGAGGTCCCAGCAGGGGCGCTTGCGGGACTGCCACTGCAGAAAGGCTGGCTCCTGCGGGAAGCCTTTCACACCTGACAGCAAGGTAGTGTTCTACATTTACTTGCACAGAAACATGTAAGATCCTTTGGCCAGTGACAGAAAACACTGAAACATTCAGCTATACTCAAAATGCCAAGGCCCCGATGCCTCCTCCCGACAATAACGAATAAATTGTTCGTTGCCTTCAAAACCCATGTCTGCCTTCTGCCCAACCCACTCCGCACCTTGCTTCCAGCTCACCTGATTACCCAGTTCCATTTTCAGCTCAGCAGCCTCTGAGGCTGGCCTAGTTTTCAAGACCCCACGAGCAGAAACACTTGTGCATTATACAAACAAGAAACCAGAAGTAGAACAAGAGGACACAGAAAGGGAAGAACCAGCAGTCAAGGAGTGTACCAAGGAGGCAAGGACGCAGGCAGAACCTGGGAAACAGCTGTTGGACAAAGCACAAAACTACTACTGCAGAGCAGGGGAACGGCTGATGGGAGGGAGAGGGCAGGCGGAGACACCAAGTGTCACAGAGCAGGACTTGGCCACGGACGACATGGGAAATCGAGCTGCAGCCCGAGAGGCACGATGCAGGATCACTTTACCCAGTGATGGGGCTGAAGAGCCTCACTCTGTTTTCACCAGGCACCTGGTTGGTTCCGAAAGCCAGGTGCTGGTCTGAACAGAGAAGGCCCAAGCAGCTTCAAGCCCATCACAAAACCATGGGGATGGTATACTGATACCTAGACCGGATCTGTGGAGAGGAGCATAGAAAAGAAAGAGGCTCTCTCAGATCTCACTCTGCCTAATCAAGGGCCTACCCTCTGGGGTGATTTTCAGAGGAAGTTTTCCAAGGAAGTGAAAGGCCAAGGGTCACTCCATCAGGGTTTTCCTGAACTTCCAGTTTCATTAACACCCTGACCTAAAAAATCAGCCCTTTGCCTTTGCCAAGAAGATGGAATGTTCAGGAATGCACTCTCCTTTTCCAAACTCCTCCTTCACAAGGAGCCACTGGGAATAAGAGGTGACTCTTCTGGAGGACCTGTGCCCTCTAGCCCCACTCCATTTCCACATTACCTACCAAGGCCAGCCAAAGTGTGGTGCGAGGGGGAGAGCATTCAGGCAGCAAGATACAGTTCATCTGACTGGATCAGCTCTTTCTAGAATTAGGCTGGCTCCACTCCTACAGGGAACCAGCCAGCAAAAGGAAACATGCTGCCATGGATGAGTCACTCGCCCCTGCCGCAGCAGACCTGAGGGGCAGTGAGGTGAGTGAGGAAGACCGCTCAGTTCTGGATGGGAAGCTGGCCGAGAGGAGAAGACACGGCCTCCCGGATCCGATGGAAGATGTGCGCCAGCTTGTAGAGGAAGGGCAGGGAAGACGGAGAAGCTGCAGGGAAAAGGGGAGACGGGTCAGTGTGCCTTCTTTCCCTCCTCCTCCTCCCGTAGCCCACACCCATCCCTCAGAAACTCCAGTGCCTTTGGAGACAGCACCGTTTTTAAAGCATATTTTGATGCTTAACGTTATTTGCTCCTCCTCCCCTCCCCAGTAAAGAATCTCACTTTCTCTAGGATATATTCTCTGGGATATATTTTATTCACTTGGATTACAGTGACCTTAAGTTTGCTGAGAAAAAGATCCAAACTTATTATGTTTTAATCTAACCTTTTTTTTTTTTGAGGAAGATTAGCCCTGAGCTAACTCCTGCCCCAGGCCACCATGAAGCGGAACGTGCGCACTTAACTGCTGCGCCACTAGGCCAGCACCTTAATCTAACTTTTTGATATACCAAAAACTGGTAATGGTGGCTACCTCTGGGGAGATAAATTTGGAAACAGACTTTTCACTACATTCCTTGCTGCATCGTTTAAATTTAGAGCCAAGTGACAGTATTACCTATTTTTTATCATAAGTAAATTATATTGAAAATAAAATGAAGTAAAATCTACCTCTTTGGAATTAGAGCTGAGCTAGTTTGTTTGTTTTCCTTATTTGAATTACTGATTTTAAGTGATTTTTTGTTCTTTCTTTCTTAAAAAGAAAAATGTCGGGGCCGGCCTGGTGATGCAGTGGTTAAGTTTGCACGTTTCACTTCGGCGTCCCAGGGTTCACTGGTTCGGATCCGGGTGCGGACATGGCACTGCTTAGCAAGCCATGCTGTGGTAGGCGTCCCACATATAAAGTAGAGGAAGATGGGCAGGGATGTTAGCTCTGGGCCAGTCTTCCTCAGCAAAAACAGGATCGGCAGTAGTTAGCTCAGAGCTAATGTTCCTCAAAAAAAAAAAAAAAGGAAAAAAAAGAAAAATGTTACTTCCTACAGAAAACTGTTGGCAATCTGCCCTCTTTATATCCTTTCTACCGAGTTCTAATTGTGGCCCAGTCATGGGTACTCCTTTCGCAAGGCACCACCACTGCAATGAGTCAAGACTGCTACCGAGGTTAGGCCTGTAAGGCCAGGGCGCTTTGAAAACGCTCTGAGGACGCTTGGAAACAGCAAACTCAAATGGCCCCTTGCCGTCCCCACTTAGGAGACCAGGGTTTATGAGACTAAAGGGCTTATAAGAACCATAAAAAATGGGGCCAGCCCAGTGGCGCAGTGGTTAAGTTCACATGTTCCACTTCTCAGCGACCCGGGGTTCGCCGGTTCCGATCCCGGGTGCGAACATGGCACCGCTTGGCAAAAAAACTGGAAACCCTTTATTCTAGTCCCTTCATTTTCTTTTTTGGTTGGCAATCCTAAGAACCAGAGAGAAAAGCGACTAGCCCAGGGTCACACAAACAGTTTGTCTCTTTTCAAAACTGCAAGTTTTTGGTTTAATCTTTAGCTCTTCCCGTGTCCCCACAGTCCTTTCTCTCCTTCAGTGAGCTCTTTGTGCACAGCTCACACTCGTCCTTTAACCCCTTTGCTGAACACTAAGCAGGAGTGCTGGCTGAACAGCTCTGTCTCTTGTAGGAAGAATCCCTCATTAGCTCTCAGGAAAGCTAAGGATAGTTCGTGTTTGTTCCTGTCTACCCTCTGACTTTCTGCTTTATTCCAGAGACTTGATAAAAATTTAGAGAATTTTTTTTATGGTTCTTTTTCTTTTTGAGGAAGATTAGCCCTGCGCTAACTCCTGCCAATCCTCCTCTTCTTGCTGAGGAAGACTGGCCCTGAGCTAACATCCGTGCCCATCTTCCTCTACTTTGTATGTGAGCCACTGCATGGCCTCCAACTAGTGGTGTAGGTCCACACCCAGGATCTAAACCCAGGCTGCCGAAGCAGAGCACATTGAACTTAACCACTAGGCCATGGGGCCAGCCTCTTTCCATTCCGTTTTGAAAGTTATGTAATTCTATTCTAAGTCTAAATTCACAAGGAAAGTAGAGATTACATCACAACTCACACAGAGTAACACAAAAAAAATCTAAAAAAGTGAGCGCCTGCCTAACCTCTGGCCCAGTGCTCAGCCTTCTGAGGAATTAATCCTCAGGAAACAAGAGGGCCATTCCCAAGAGCACTTAGGAAGCTCATGTCTCCTTCACAGCACAACAGAAGACAGAATAAGAAACAAGCAAATGTCCAACAAGAGGGAGTTATGAAATCAATTACGGAAGCTTCTGTAAATTGGAATATTATTTAGCCATTTAAAGCTATGCTTTAAAGAATATCTATGACATGCAAAACTGCATCTATATCCATAGAAAAAGACTGAAAGTATAACCATTACAATAGCAGACATATAGGTGACTTCTGTTTTCTTCTTCATACTTTTCTCTATTTTCCACATTTTCTAAAATGTATATGTATTTCTACAATTTAATATGTTTTAAATTAACACAGTTTTTTTAGACATTATGATAAGATTTTCTTTTTTAAATTCTGAGGTTCTACTCAGAGTTCACCCCTGGATAAAGGAGATGGCTAAATGAGCCAGAGTGCACATTCAAGAGCCAGCAGGATAGAATGGACTTTTCTCCAGGCTGCTCTCAGGGACTCCAGGATTAGACCAATCTCCTTCTCTGTGGGTTGGGGCTGACTCTTGCTCGGGTCCAGCAATGCTCCTTGTAGAAGATACTCAGGAGGTACCTCCACCCCCGGGAGGGTTCCCACAGGCCCAGCCCATCAACTGCCCCTTCCCCAGGAAGGGTGGGGCAGAGGCAGGCTTCACTCACCTGGATCAAACCTTGCCACCAAGAGGCAGAGGATCAAGGCAGCCACAAGGCTCTTCTTGAAGGGCAGGGAAAAGAAGTGGCTCACTACAAAGTCCCAAAGCCGGCGAAGAGACATCAGTAGTGACAGAAATTTGTGGGAGGAGGAGCCTTGTCAGGGAGAGAGAGCATAACTTCAGCATAAGTCATGAGAATCAGCTCCCTGCTTCTGAGCTTAGAGTTGAGCAAAAGGTACTGAACTTGCCATCAAATCCCTTTCCTCCCTAATTTCTCCCCAGGGAATCGAAGAGCAGAGGGCTTGGGTAGCCACAGGGAATCCCCGAAGCCAACAACTTGTTTACAAAGAAGTAATCCTATCTCAACAAGTTCATGCTCTTAAGGATGCAAAGAAAAACATTTTGGAGAACAGGATTCAAGTCTCCTAATAGGCAAAGGGCTTTCAAGTGAAAAAAGGGATTAGGCCTATTGTCCACATTACCAAGAAAAAAAACAAGGATCAGTGGGTAAAAAATACGAAAAGCTTAAATTCAGCATCAGGAAGAACTTCCCTACAGAACTGTCCAGAGATGGAATGAGCTGCTTCAGGAGCTGGTGAATTTTCTGTCCTTGGAGGTACTCATATGCAGACTAGATGATCACTCCAGGGAAAGGGATGAGGAGGATTCAAGACCAGGGAAGGGTCTAGACTAGAAGACCTTTTAAAGTCTCTTTGTAAAAAAACAACTCCCACACCCAACCCAACGCTGTGTAGGAACCCTTGTATGATGCCAGCCAGGTGTGTGGTGGTGGGTCGTGAGGTGGCTTCCCTATAGAAGTCATTTTATAAAACTGCACTCTAATGGGCAGAGGTGGGCTGCCCCTGAAGATGGTGGACATCAATCACTGAAGAAGACATCCAAGATGTCTAGTAAGTGTAGGCAGACAGGATGCGGGCCAGGGGGGCCCAAGCTGAGGAGACATACTCTTTATCTCATAAGTCAAGTCACCAACTTATCGTGTTAGTTGCTTATTTCCTTGGACTATCCCAAGCACACCTCAGCTGTGTCTGTACTTGGGCCAGCATTCAAAGGAGGAGTAACATCCCACCTAGGCCAGCACGGTGGAGGCAAAAGATCTAATGAGAGGATTCCAAGGAGCAGGTGACTTTCAGGAGACAAGAGCCAAGGTTCTGAGACCCGGCCGGCACCACCTGTCTATATGGAGCTTCTCCTTCCGCCGCCATGTTGGCTTGGCTTTCTAAGCAACTCAACAGGTTTCCTATTCTGTGATTTGGAAGTTACTCATACAAAGACTTGCTCCCAAGCTCCCAGGAATGTCATGATGGACCACAACTCCATGAAAGCCCACAACTCCACTTTACAGAAGCCACAGAAGGATAATATCCTACCTTCCTGGTTTAGTTTCTGGGCCTCCTCAGAGCCAGAGTGTTCATGTTTCTGCTGTTCCCTCGCTGTGCTAATGGCCTGGAGTGCATCCAGCCGCTGCTCATCACTGAAGGCTACAGAGTCCACCACTAGCTCCTCAGCCTCCGACAAGCAGCCCAGAGGCAGCAGAACCCGCTGCAGGTGAAGTTCTACCAAGGCTCTGTATTCTGGAAGGCCCTGATTGTCTGGGTCTTGGAGCCAGGCACGGACCACTTCCAGCATGGCTGCAGGCTCTTGCATTTTGCTGTATAAAAGAACACTGCAGCCCCAAATAATACAATCCACAAAAAAAGAACAGTCAGTGCTGCACAGCGCTTCATCTCTCATAACCACTACACTTTTCCTATCCAAGTCCTCCCCTCCACCCTCCAGCCCTTCCCTGCTGCAGGCTGACATTGACAAGAATTAGGAATTCCTAAGAAGCAGCAAGAAGCTTTCTCAGCTGACACATTCAACTTCTGTCATCCCACTTCAGATCTCCTATTCCCAGTGTCCCCTCCCTTTCTCTTGTCCCTATCCCATTCTTAAATTCTTCCTTCCTCACCCTTTATTTGCTATGTTTTGAGGTCTGAAAAAAAAAAATAGGGAAAGAATTAGATTTGGAGGGAAATGGCTGGGAAGTGGCAAAGAGGAGACTGAGGCACTGACTCAGAAGAGAGCATGAAGACTCTCTGGTTCCTGGACTGATCCAGCGAGTCAGCAGGGAGGACCTACCACAGCTCCAGGACTTTGGGGGGCAGCTTTTCAGGAGCCTGGTAATACTGAAGAACCCAGGACAGGACTTCCCGCCACCGATTCATTTCTGCCAGGGCCTGGATCCCCACAACACACAGGGAGCATTTCACCTCCAAGGAGCTGTCAGCAGAAAAACCAACTCGCGTTTAGTAGCGGTTCCCCTGCGTTTCCATTCCCACCTCCGCCTGGGACTCTCTTCCCCGGCAGCCAGCACCCCTATCCTCCCCACTAGGGTTCCAGCGGGCCTCACAACTGCAATCGGTCTCACGGGCCCCGACAAGAGGAAACGACCCTTTTCCCAGCAGTTAACCGTTGCTGTAAACCTTCCAGCAGCAAGCAACACACACCTTTCTCCGCAGTAAAACCAGGCGTAAAACAACGGGAAGGCCTCCTCTAGCCCCGGGCGGAAAGGACCCCGCGGAGCGCCGCGTCCGGGAGGGTAGCGGCCGCCGAGGGGAGGGCGCGACCCCCGAGCGCCGCCCAGGGGGCCCTCCGGCCCCCGGCTCCGGGGTCGGCGGGCACGACGCCACCCCCCACCGCCCGGCGCGGCCTACGCAGCTTACAGCCCCGAGGAACGACGCGCTCAGCTCCGCGAGGCTGGCAGCACCAGGCAGAGCCACGCGGGGCCGAGGCTTCCCTCGGGCTGAGTCTTTCAGGCAGGCCTTCGACGGGCGACACCACGCCCGCCCTGAACCCACTCCCGCCATACGCCACGGTCGCGAGCGGACGGCCTGGGGGCGGGGAGGACTCCCCCGCTGCTGACTGCATCCCTGACAGTCGGTCCAGTCTCTCTTCCCAGCGACCACGCCCCCCCGACCAGGGCTGCCCCTAGGCTCTGCGGCAGAACCCGGCCCCTGCCCGCCCGCGGGGCGGACCCTCACTTTCCTCCTCTGGAGAACGGACACAAGACGACGCCCAGGCTCCCCGGGAGGAGCGCGCGGCGCCCCCGACGCGCGGCGCAGCCTCGGCACGACCCCTCCCGCGCTCCAGGCCCCCCGCCCCCGAGACGCGCGGCGCCTGCACGTACGCGCCCGCGGGCTCCTCCGCCGGGGCGCCGCAGGCCAGGGCCCGGCAGGCGCGCTCGCAGGTCCGCAGCGCCGCGCCGAAGTCCCGGTGCACCACCAGCAGGTCCGCCGCCTCCTCCAGCAGGGCCGCGGCCGCCGACCGGACGGGGGCGGCGCGCGCCGGCTCGCTGCTGCGCAGGGGCCCCGCGAGCGCCCGGGGCGGGGCCGCCGGGCTGGGGGCGCCGCTCCTCATGGCGCCGGGCTCAGGGCCGGGCCCCTCGCACGTCGGGGCGGCCGCCGCGCTGGCCAGCGGGAAGAACGCGAGGCCTCATTGCTCGCCGAGGGCCTCCCGAGGCCAAGGCCCGGGGAAGGAAGAGGAGGGGCCGTGTCCACACTCGGGCCTGCGAACAGCCGACCCTGCGGTACCCGGCCCTAGCCCCTCTGGCGCACGACGCGGACCAACGCCACCTCGCCCCGGGAGCGCCGCCCCGGGTTCCCTTCACGAACAGTGCCGCTCACCGCAGGCGAGGGCCGGGGCGCCGGCACCTTCCCGGCCTCGCAGCCCCGGCGGACGCAAGGCTCCCGGCGGCGCGGGGCACTCTGGGAGTTGTAGTCATTTCCCGTTCCCGGGTGGGCCGCCCTCTGGATGCCGATGGCGGAGTTCGGACTACACCCCTCAGCGTGCCGTGCCCCAGAAACCGTTGCTGGCCCGGGGGAAAACAAACTGGCGCAACCGCTTCGGCATCGGGCAACAGTAAAGCGGAGGCTGTGGTGAGACGAGGAGGGCCCCTCATTACGCAGTTCCAGCAGAGGCCGAACAGAGGAAATCCCAGCAGCGGGAGTGGAGCCGCGTGACGCTTCTGAGTCCGAGCTTCTGCGGGGTCGCAGTGAGGACGGCGGGCCCCGGCCCTCTGCAGACAGCCCTCGTGGGAGCCGGGGCGGAGGCGTGGACGCCGGCAGCCGTCCGTGTGAGGCGGTGCAGCCAGGCCCTCGCTCTGCCACAGGTACTGTTTGAACACCTGCTAGGTGCCAGGCTCTGCTCTAAGCGCTGAGGATCCCATAGTGAACTTTTCAAAGAGACAGGTGTCTGCAGTGGCGGAGCTCACATCATCGTGGAAGGAGACAGAAGATTAAAAAGAAGCGAGTAACATACATACAGCAACATGTCAACGGCAATAAATGCTAAGGAGAAATAAATGGAGAAGAGAATTAGGGGTGACAACAGAGGAGGGATAGGGTTGATATCTAGATTTAACTTCGTTTTCTAACAGTAAATCCAGAGTTGGGGCGGAGCCGAGAGAAAACGTGGCCCTCGTGCTCATGACTGGCCTCTGTCAGTGGAACAGTGCCCTTGGGACCAAGATATTCACAGGGTCATTTGTGAGGAGCTCCGCCCTAAGTCCCTCGTCCTCACCAAGCAACGGTCCTTCCACACAGCAAACTCCAGAAGCAAGCAGAGATCTCTGGAAAATGTGGATGCGTCCAAGGCTGAAGTTACCAAAATATTTTATCAGTTCTGCCTCAGACTTGACATCAGATGATGATCATTAGTAATAATATAATTATTGGACAAAAAAACTTATTTCTCAAAACTGATTTTAGAAGTCTTCCCTGAAAAATCAGGAAAGCAGTAGGATCAGAAAATAGACCTGACCAGGCCTCGGCAAGTTGAGACTGGCAGGACCACATCCCTTCACTTCCAGGAGGACCGCCTCTAAGTGATGGCTGCCAGAACAAGAGGTTGCTTGCTATTCCCAAATTTTTCCAGGAGATGGCAGCACAGCCTTAAAAGAAAGAGACCTGCCAGAAACAAATGCGCCTCAGTAGTGCTGCAGCTCCCAGACTGAGGTCAAGATATTTAACGAAGTGGAAGGTTGCTAAAAAATCGTATAAAAATATGATTGTGTTCTGTTTCTGTGTTTCACCCAATTTTTGATTACACAGGCTTCATAGTGGATTGTATGTCACCAGTTTAACTTTAGCACTGTGGTGCCCACGTTGGTTCCTCATCACATCCTCTGTGACTCCACCGTCCCCTCTGTGTCTGAATGTACCCAGAATTTCTCAAACTAAGACACAGCAATCCTAAACATAAGTAAATTTATTTCACCTGAGGAAAAGTGAACAGGTATGACATAGACCTAAGCAGTCTTTGTGACTCAGGGCTCATGATGCAAGCTTGGAAACCTCCCCTTGGGATAAAATAAAGAGTGGAAACAAGGACAGTTCTCTCAGGTCTATAAGGCCTCACTCGTTAGAATTTGTATTGTTGGAATCATTCCATTTGGGGAAAACTAGTAGAATGAAACACAAAATCCACATTATGAGCCATCCCCTAACCCATACCCACGCCCTGGAACTTGGTGTTCGACAGGGTGCTGAGCCTATTGCCTTAATCTGAGGATGTGAACTTGCTCAGCCTGCTTCAAGCAGGCGATGAGTCAGTGTTTTTGTAGCAGAAAGAGGACTAAACTGGGAGATGAGCTACACCGCTTAGAATCCTGGTTCCTTCGGTGACTAAGACAGCTGACCTCCAGAAAGTCACCGAATGCCTCTGAGCCTCAGTTTTCTCATCTGAGGATATTGCTACCAACACCTGCCACACGAGGTGTGGATCAGAAGAGATCATGTGAGAGCCCATGGAACTCTTTAAACCACTGGAATAGTTGAAGCTAATATAAGGTGAGGTGGTATAATATACTGGGGAATGAGTAAGGAGAAGAAAGAACCTCATTCTACCTCAAAGTTCTGTAATCTTCCTTTCTGACCTAGAATCTGACTCGACTCTTCCTTACCAAAGGTCAGAGATGCCCACAGCTGCAGTCAGCCCAGCCTGTTCTGTCCTCTGGTTCTACTGGTTCTGCATTTTGTGACAATAGATAGCATCCATAGCTGTCCATTTGAACACATCCCACCCAACCAGAGCCCCTCAGTACAGGGATGTCGGTGGTGAAGCTCTGGGCACAGTAGGATCATGCCTAGTGTGACCTTTGCCCAGAAGCCACCCAAAGAGATAAGTATTAGCAGGGTGGAGATAATGTTTGTCCAGGATGATTGAGGGGTGTGCCTGCCTCACTCCAGGCCTTCGTAAGTTAGATGGCATTTTTATGGCTCTTTTTTAAAGCCTGAACTTGGAGTTCAGGGCAAAACTCAGTGCTTCCTGTTTGCTCCTCTCCATGTAGACACAGCAGAACTCTTACTTTGCTTCTGTGTCTAAGAAGTAATCATCATAATCATTCTGTAGAGCACTTTGCAACAGTCATAATGACGGCTCCCTGTATGTAGGACAGTATTAACTATGTGCTAGGTGCTGCTCTGAGTGCTTTACATGTAACTCATTTTAGTATCAACAACCCTGGGGGCCAGTGCAGTGGCATAGTGGTTACGTTCATGCACTCCACTTTGCTGGCCTGGGGTTTGTGGGTTCAGATCCCGGGCGTAGACCCGCAAACCATTCATCAAGCCATACTGTGGGAGTGCCCGACATACAAAATTGAGGAAGGGTGGCACAGAGGTTAGCTCAGCAACGGTCTTCCTCAAGCAAAAAGAGGAGGCTTGGCAACAGATATTAGCTCAGAGCTAATCTTCCTTACCAAAAAAAAAAAAAAAGTATATATATATATATCTCAACAAGCCTGTGACAAAAGTCCTAGTGTCATTCCTATTTTGTCGATGAAGAAACCAAGGCAACAGAGAAGTTAAGGGACTTGCCCAAGGTCACACGGGAAGTGCAGAGGAGGGCTGGGACTTAAATTCAGGCAATTTGGCTCCAGAGCCTCTTCTTCACTAATGTATAATGCTGGTTGAACAAGCTACTTTCACTTATCTTAGTTGAGCTTGACAGCAAACCTGTGAGCAAGGTAACGCACGTATATTATTATTTTTCCTATTTATAGATGGGAAACTAAAGCTCAGAAACTGCCTGAGCACAAAACACGTGCTTTCAATGGCAAAGCTAAAACAATTACTGGAGATTTCTAACCAGATCCTAAACCCAGGGGCATTCTTCAAAGGGCTGTCTGTCACTCCTCTTCGTCTCCCCTGAAGGTGACTGGAGGAGCCTCACTAGGAGACCTGTTGTCCAACTTCCCTCTTTTCTCACCCACCTCAGGAGTCAGAGGATTCGCTCAGGAGAAGGCCGAGCAAATCTTCATGATGCCAGACCAAGCCTGAAAAACAAAACAAGTAATGGGTGATCACTGGGGATAAGTCAGCCCTGGCTCTATCGTGGAAGTGCAGAAAGATTCTCTCTCCCCCAGCCTTTCCTGATCACCCCTAATTCAAGCTAATCACTCCTTCCTTCAAACTCCCAATCGTAGTTTGTTTTTTTATGCCTCTCTGTGGGTCCTTCCCAATTTCCATGTTTCCGTATAGTTATTTGTGCCGCTCCTCTATTCTTCTGTGCCCTTCCTGAGGACAGGGGTAGAGTCTCGCCCATCTCAGGATCCCTGTGCCATCTAGCAAGGTGTAAAACAATAAGCATGCAATGCCCTGGGAGACCCCCCCTCTCCTGAGCTGTCTCATGTCATTTTGTCCTGACATTCAGGCGGCCTCACTGGTGATCACTGTATGAAAAGGTTGGAAGCTGAAGAGATACATGCCATAACTCAGCCCCCAAAAAAGAGAGACACTTAAAGTTGTTTCTAGATACTGATCCCACAGCCTGCCTTCTTGTCTATGGGTAATTTGCAATGTTCCTTCTAGTGCTGTCTTCCTTATTTCCCAGGAAATAGTTCAATAAACTCAGTCACCTTGAGTGATAAAATTTTAGAGTTGGGAGGAGGTTTATCATACTACAGTAAAAGAAACTGAGGCTGGGGGAGGTTAATCTATGGCCTGATATCACACAGCAGAAGAACGCAGCATTCCTTTCCCTATCCCGTGTTGCCCCAGAGAGGACCTCACCTTTGCTTAAAAATGTTTTCCTCGCTAGCCCAGAAATCTCTGCCAGTAATCACTTTGGGGTAATTCACAGCATCAGAAGTTACTCTTGATGCACAGATACGGGCTGGGAAGAGCAGCGCTGGGAGCAACTGCGGGCCATTGACACCAGCACGCCAGGGCTATCCCCTCCCCTGCAGGGAGAGCAGCAGTGGTTCTCAAAAGCTGCAGGGTCCCCCTAGCAGGCCCTCAGGGAAAATGAGAGGCAGGGGTTCTCGACACAGCTTTAATATCTCAAGAATAAATTGTGTATTTACTTGAAGTAATGCTACAAATGTTATTGATTAAAAGATTTTGTTTAGGAGACAAAATATTCTGAATATAAGAGGGATGGAGGGGCAACTAAAAGTGGTCATTTGTATTTAAAAGGCTGAGAACTACTGACAGAATATTTACACCCCAAGTTATTTCCTGAAGTGGGGTTTTGGGTCAGCCCTGATTAAGGTATTTGGGTAGTGGGGGAGGAAAGAGAAATGTTGGGAGGATTTCCAGAAATCTTAATTTTATACCTTATCCAGGAGAGAGTAGAAGGAAAAGAAAGAACCTCAAAGGTAAGAACTCAAAGAAGCTCAAGGGCAGGCCTCCAGTCGCACCAATCCTGGTAGCTTTAGTCAACCCTAAAACTGGAGTTCATACTCAGTTGACTACAGCAGGTAAAACAAATATTTGCCCAACCTGTCCCATGTGTCAGGGCCTAAAAGAAATAAAAGGGATTGCAGTTTGCTTTTGTTTTTGTTCTAATTACTATTCTCAGACTGTTACCTCCCCAAGCCTAGTGCCATGCTGCATAGATATGCTGACTCCACTCAGCACCTGCCTCTGGAGCAGTTAGAATGACTCTAAGAAAAACACTAAAAGGTTAGTAAGATGAGAAAAATAGGTGTCTGAGCATATTCTTTAACTGACAACAACTCAGATCGTTTCAAAAATTTGTTAAGAACTACTCAGCCAATCTACCTGGCTTTGTAAAGGCCTCTTTCTCTGCAAATCAGTATGCTCAGAAAAAATTCCGCTTCCTGGGATCCACACAGCACAGCTCTAGGAGGTGCCATTCCCAGCAAGTCTGTATGAATGGCACCCCGTGGAGTTGTGTGGATTTTACAACCCGCAAGGCCAAACATGGCAGCCCTCTTTGTTCCTGGCTCCACATTAAGTGGGCTTTAATGCTGAAGTCCAAAGACGTTCACTTCTTTCTGAGGACAATCTCAGTTGTTTGTGGCAACAGGAAAGAACCTGCCTTTCCCCCCAGCACATGTCTTTTGTCCTCATTGGGGATGGGCTGCCCAATGGACAGTCTGCTTGCAAGCTTGTGTGGACTCGCCTGTGGGAAGTTCTCTGGGAAGAAGATCATCACGAATGGTAAGGCATGCTGTCATCCCTGCTATTTTGTGTCCTGCTGGGAAGAGAGTTTGTTGTTTGTGCGTCTGGTTCTGAAAGGCAGCAGGACAGTGGAAGCAGGTTGTAGGTAGGTTCACCACCCTTCCCCTAATCCCTCAGGACAAAAGGTATGGGCAGCATGACGAGTGGGTGAGTTCACAGTTCTCCTCTCTGACAGCTGAGTCTAAAAGACCAGAAAGAATAGAGGTAGAATAACAGGAAACATGTTACCATAGCAAACGAGGAAATTCACATGTATGCAGGCTATGATGGAAACCACCATATTCTTACAGCCTACAAAATAAACAGAGAAGAGGTCCCCTCTTGCTCTCTTCCCAGGGCCATCATTCCCCTGGCTCCATTCATTCCCCTCTGACTTCTCTTCACGGGCATTTGTCAGTATGATTCTCACAAACTACTCCTTGTTGACGGAAACTCCATTTTCCATACCCAAGAAAACATTCTCCAAGGTTAAAGGACCGTCATATGGATCTTCCTAGTGTTTTACAACCTGAAATCTGATTGTTCAATATCTGCCCTTTTATATCTTTTAACTGTTCTCGTTAATATATACCCAGAGTAAAAATAATCCAAACAAGACAGAAAAGGACAAGAGAATAAGAATCATCTGAAACCCACCATTCATAAATGACCGCTTTTAATGTTTTGATGGACATCCTTCCATAAATACACATAGTAGGTATGTGTATTTAGTGATAATTATGCTGCCCTGTAACCTGCCTTACTCACAGTATGTCATGGGACTCCTTTTTTTTTTTTTTTTTTTTTTTGAGGAAGATTAGCCCTGAGCTAACTACTGCCAGTCCTCCTCTTTTTTGCTGAGGAAGTTTGGACCTGAGCTAACATCGTGCCCATCTTCCTCTACTTCATATGTGGGACGCCTACCACAGCATGGCGTGCCAAGCAGTGCCATGTCCACACCTGGGATCCGAACTGGCGAACCCCGGGCCGCCGAGAAGCGGAACGTGTGAACTTAACCGCTGCGCCACCAGGTCAGCCCCTATGAGGCTCCTTTTTATTCTTCATTTGGATATTGGTATTACCTACTACCTAAAACAAGAAACGAATAATCCTGCTGTTACTAGTGACAATTTACATGTTTATAGTTATTTGTAGCTAAAAAGCAATTGTACATCCTTGATCTTGTATAACCCTGAAGCTGGAAAAAAGTCTTTGGGAAGTCCATCTCCCTCCTTTGTGCATTTAATTCTAATCATTCCTCAGATTGGTGTAGTACTTTACAACTTAAAAAGTCCCTTTACATTATTTTATTTGATTATTACAAAAAATCAAAGCATGAGACAAATAATCATAATGCAATGATAATGCATTGATAGTCATAACTACATTTACATTTACATAATACATTGATAATGGTCACAACTACGTGTATTGAGAACTTGGTGTGCGCCAGGCTCTGTGCTAGGTCCATTACAATGCATTGTCTCGTGTAGTCCTCATTATCCCCATCTCAGAGATAACAGAGCTAAGGTTTGGAGAGGTCAAGTAATTTGATCAAATTTCCACAGCAAATCCAGGTGGAATTCTAATGCAAATGTGTCTGACTTTACAATTCCCGTTTTTAGCCACTGCATCATGCTGCCTCTTATAACAACTAAACTTTGTACACACTTTGCAAAACATTCTAACGTATATTGTTATGTCCATCTCCTAGATAAAGAAAGGCCCGAGAGGTGAAATGATTTGCCTCGTCTCAGAGCCAGGATTCCAGCCATCCTGACTCTAAGCCTGCTGCTGATGGCACTCCACTGTACCAGCCTCTTTCCTCTAATTAAGGGTGCTAGGTCTCAGTACTCTTTTTCAAATCTCCAGAGAAGGGAGTTCTTATTAAGATCTTTCAAAACTCCTTCCTACTACAGTGAATTCTCTGTTCCTTCTTCAGAGGGAGCAGAGACTGACAGCTCTTTGTCACATTCATGCACAAGTTGGGAAGACGTGAAGTTCGTGGAGCTCAAATCCAGTCCGAATCATCCCTTCTCTATGACTTTCTTATGCTTTTTGACAAAGGGCAGAGTTGGTGTGTCTCATTCTCTCCTTTCAGAGAGGAGGAGGAGAGCGTTTGTTCTTGAGGATAGGAAACTCGAGCTGATGAAACAAAATGGAAGGAGATGCAAGGAAGCAATTTGGTGCAGGGTGCGTGGAGATGTGCACAAAGGGATTAGGCAGCATCTCTGACGTGGAGACGAAGAGTGGGTTGGTGGAGGCAATTAGGCAATCAAAATTAACGTTTTCCTCTTTAAAGATAACAATTTTTATTTATAAAGCACTCCTTGCTGGAATGAGCTCAAAGCATTTAATGGGTGCTGGCTAATTACCCCACCCAAGAAATAATCTGGCAGCTGGAAAAAGAGAGACATAATTATCCCCATTTTACATATGGGGAGCCTAAGCCACAGAACAATGATGCCTTGCTCAAAACCAGCTCACAGAGAGCTGAAAATAGAAGGAAAGCCTTCTATAGTACCCTTCCATCCCAGTGTATTCAGGGCTCCTGCTGTGTCCTCCTGAGGAAGGACAGCCCACTTGCTGGCCAGGAAAAAGCAGCCGTCACTCATTGGGAACTACAGTTCCCAGACACCAAGAGGAGATAGGGCTGTGCCTCTAGTGCCCATTCCAGATTCCCAAATATGGAGAAGGACATGGTTTTGGAAGAACAGAATGCTCACCCTTGAGAGAGAGAGGGAGGATGAGGTAAGTTTGGAATATTTAACTCTATCACTTAAACATCTGCCCAGTCTTTGAAATATAGCAGCCAAAGTCATGATCTTTTAATAAATCTTTCTAGTACATCTCACTTTGTAAAAAGTGCAATTAGTCCAGCAGAACCCTGTTTTCTCCTAAGAGTAGGTGTGTGCTGAGGGGGCAGCTGCAGTTCTAGGAGATTAGATACCCTTTGCCAAAATCCACCCAGCTCAGAAAATGATGGTGGTGGTGGCAAGAAGGGAAATCCAAGTGGAGAACAGCTCTGCTGCGATGGGAGCAGACATCCCAGAGGCTGGGGCTGGCAGCTGGCTCACTGAACCAATGGCTGAGCAGCCCTGGGAGGACAAAGGTTACCCTTTTTCTGCCTTACAGGCTGCTCAGCCTGCTGAGTGAGAAAGGCATGAAGGAACTCTCCCCCCACCCCCTGTCTTTATTAAAGCACTTACCTTAAGGCACTGGGCTAGATGCTGAGGGGATACAAATCATAAGCCCTCAGGACACTTATGATTGGGGGAGGAGGTAGATACAAAAGGAAAGATGGAGCAAAGGGAAGGAGGAGACAGACAATGCAAGGCAGTGTATTATTTGTACTTTTCATCCAACATATACTTATTAATCACCCACCATTGCCAGGCACTGTTCAAGCCACTTGGAATACAATGGTGCTTCTGCCCTTACAGATTTTATATTCTGGTAGCCCCTGGATG